GTAAACCTGTAGTGGAATAGGTACTGCAACTTGTGGTTACAAATGCAGATTATATATGTATAAATACACACATACACCATGTCACCGCTGGCATGACACTTTCAGTTAGCAACATTTCAGAGTGTTTTGCATTCATCGTCTGTCCTCTTTAAAGATTGTCAACGTTAACCTCTACTGATTGTCTCTTTGTGTCCCTGTATTGAGCCCTGAAGAACAAGAGCAAACCTCTAAAAATCTATCTATCATCTATCAGTATGATCCCAGTTAATACACAACTCTTTATTCTGAACAAGAACTTTCAGCAATGTCTAGAAACAAAATATCATTAAACCCTAGCATTACCAAATGATATCCAGTCATCATAAGGAGTTTAAGGTTATTGCTGCATTCATGTATTTTAACAATGTATAGATGTTTTTTTTTCTATATTTATCAGTTTTGTGATTCTCAAATAGTGTTTTTCAAACTCAACTTACTTAATCATACTCAACAAAAACCTTTATTTCCCAGAATTACTTCTAATATCTCTGCCGCTGCTTTGGTGCATGATGCAACCATGCCTTCTGAGGCAGTGTGGCACATATGAAATGTTATTTGCAATGGCATTCCTCTGTCCAGTTTCACCCAGAGAGTCAGACAGGTGTTCTCATCGGACATGAAAGCCTCTGGTGATGCATGTCAGTCTTGATCACCCATGATGATGGCCTGAGGTAAGGAAACTGTGTCCATTCCACTGACATGGGAACTCTTTTGAGTTTCAGCACTTTTATGATAGTTGTGGCAGCCAGAACAACCATTCAGACATTGAGGTGGACAGTCACAACTCCCTTTTTATCAGTTGTTTATGCTTCAGTTTTCCAGATGCTTTTTTTTTTACTTCAATAGAATTTGTCATTTTGGTCTCTGTCTACCTGTGTGTCTCAGACCACTTGCAAAATGCCTTATGCCACCAGTGTATCACATGACCCTAAAGGTTGATCTTTGTGTTAGTCCCAAGGTTCTGGAGTCCTGTTTCTCCTGATGTGCAATGAATGGGGATTAAAACGAGTGTATAACTTCTAAAACTCCTGAAGTTTAAAAGACTGCTTCACACTTTTGTGCATATTCAATAAGATAGGTGAATCTTTGGAGATGTAAACTATTTAGCACTACAGTGACATAATGGAGTAATGCAACAGTAATCCCAGCAGCAGAAGCAAGTCATCTTCCTTTGTGTCCATTCTCGACTAAGTCAAAGCTTGATAATGCAATACATATTATAGTTACAACCGATTAATGTAGATTTTTTACATTAAAATAACCAGAGTAGTGACACAATGCTTAATCTTTATTGGATTGGAGGTCTCCTTAAATGTCTCTATAATCGTCTTATCTCATAGTGACTGATATCTCTCCTGTCTTTGAATGAACTGCCCACATTTTTCAGTCATTGAAAAAGCCAGTCCAGAAACTAAGTATGACAGGCAGCGAGTTGCCTTGGCTACCAATAAGAAGGCCCCTTGGCGCCAAGGGGGCTGATCATAACAGAACTCTTCTACTTAAGTTCCCCACATCACGTCCCATCATGCTTGTTTTGGACTGCTACGGTCACAATTTTTATGTGGTGCCTTCAGATCATCTGCAGATAATTCAAGGAGATTTATAACCACTGAATTTTGGGAGTAAATATTATAAAACTACGTCTAAACCAGAAAGGGCTGTTACATGGGATGCACTCAGCATGGAAAGCAAACAGAGAGAAACAGCCTGGTTGATGGTGGCTGGCTGTACAGGATGAGATGGGCTCTGAGGTTTGATGGGGCAGAAGAAGGCTCATACAGACGGCTGGCTGCTCCTTTTGACGGCGTGTCAGGGTTGGCTCGCAAGCTGCTCTGCTGCATCTGGGTGATGCAGTCATCATTGTGGCAGGCCTGTCAGAACAAACTGGTGTGCTGGAGACAGATACAGCTTTAGTGGCTGGATGGGGAGTATGCAACACATGCGCCACCCTAACATCGAATATGTTCCCCAAACTGGCAAGCTGGTGGCAAGTTAATGACAGGAACGACCGGTGACATCATACAAAAACATGATTACGCTCCACTAAAGACATCTGAGTGAGTCCATAGATCAAACAGACAGGGTGATGACTTAAAGCACTAACACACTGGCTACTGGCGTTACTTTAAACAGGAGCCTTGGTAACAGAATAAAAGTCTCCGTCTGTAATTTTAATGGAAAATTTCACCACAAGATTGATACAGAATAAATAAACATTACTTGCACACACACACACACACACACACACACACACACACACACACACACACACACACACACACACACACACACACAAAGAAGATGAGACAGAGAGAAGAGAGAGGGCTCAGACATTGCCAAGAGGGGGTTTGTGTTGCATCACCAATGCAATGTTTTTATTTGTGATGTATTCAAATGAATTGACACAGTGGGAGAATAATGTGTAATCATTAGCAAAGGGTTTGCAAATTATTTATGCAATGTGAACCATGATAATTTACTTCCACTTTTTTTTCTTATACTGCCATTAACAAGTAAGTCGGAAACCAATAAATGTCACAATCGCTTTCACTTAATTAAAACAATAGATATCATATTACAAGGTAAGATGTTAGTCATACCACAGTCTCCTGCACATAGCAATTTACTGCTAAAGTGTTATGAGAGAGGGTGACACAAATAATAGCTATTAAACTGTCAACTAGTGGAGGCTGGATCACATTACTGAAATTAGCTAAGACGTACTATTATAAACAATGCCATCTTCTCTTAAGACATGCATACATACTCACAGATAAACCCACACACACAACAAAATGAAGAAAGCAGCATAACATAGAAAGACATTTGGACAGATTTAAGCTGTTTTTACTTTAAAAAAAAGTAGAGAAACAAATCCCTGTCTGTATTTTTGAGATTGATCATTTGTATTCAGACTATTTAAGAGACCAAAAAAAGTGCATCAAATATCATTAGATTGTGTTTCTAATCCTGGACAGTCCTTCATTCTCCTGGCCAATACGCAAACTTTAGAACTCTAATTTGTAACCACATGAGACTGAGCCCAGTATTTGATTAATGATGTGACATCCTCTCATGTCTTTTGTGCTGGCATTATACCCATGTTCCAATCTGTCCAACTGAAAGTGTAATTACAAATGTAGTAATGCAGTCCAACAGGCCACATGCAGTTGTAGTAAACTGAGGGCCAAGGCAGTGTCACTGAATCAAAATAGCAATCTTACCCCTCACTGACAAATACGTACAGTACAAAAAGGAAAAAAAAAAAACTATAATGCAAAGTGGGTGAAAGAAAAACAATCTTTTTTTCTGTCTAAATACTTCAGTGCACCTCACTGAGTCAACTGTGAATGTTCTGGGCTGGTAGTCTTCATGGCATATCCACAGGCAACACTGACATCTGCTGGTTAAAAATAAGCATTTATTTGAAGAAAACCAACAAACATCACATTGTGTCACCACTTTCTGAATGTGTATGCTGTCTTTTAACATATATATCAGATACTTCCTAGTTATTGAGAAAAACATTCATATATGACAATTACCTCCTTCGTATTTCAGACTTCTATATTTGATATCCCAATCCTCACTTCTGCAGTCGTCTAATTTCCATTTAACATGGATCAATTGAGTAGTGTTACACACTTATCAGCAGGACTAATTTATTTATGAACCTGTCATTTGTAATCATTGATCAGGATGTTTTCCGTTAGGAAACTAATGATATGCAGAGGTAAAAGATTCCCTAATTATTGTGTTTGGTCTAATTGAGGCTGTGTGCTTCTGCAAGAGGGTTCAGAGGAGAGCTGACTGTTGCCCTGTCTGCCACATTGACATGCCAACAGAATCCTAGTAGAGTCACTAGGACTGACATTGGTGGAAAACACTCCCACACAGTGTTATTTCTAAAGACTTTGTTTCATTACAGCATTGTGTAAGGTGGAATATTCCTACCACTGCTGGTTCTGTCTTATTTGGCAAATACAGAAACCGCAAAACAATTATAATACGGTGACATCAGACAAGGTGGACAAACCTAATCAGGGCAATTATATCTGCTATGTTTCATTTGGCCTTTGAGCTACAATATGTTAAGAGTGGCCATATCACCACTACTCTACCCTGCTCACTACCAAAAACAAAACTGAGCACTTAGTTGCAGTTGGCCAAAGAAATTGTTAAAATTATAATTTTTTAAAACTAGGTCTGAGTCTTAAATGAGTTTTTAGAGGTATTTAATGAAAAAAATGCAAAGAAGTATGTTATTTACGTTGTACTAGCTGGCCTCTAAACACCAGATTATATTCAAATCAAAGCTCTTACTATTCACCAACAAGAGGTTCTCTCTGATTGTTTTATTCATTTATTTTGACTAAATCACCAAACAAATAGAACCAGGGTCCATTTCTGTCTTGTCAGCTACATTAAAGCACCTAATGGTCTTCCACCTTGAAGAATCTGGACTGGCACAGATCAAAAAAGTACAACAACAGTGGAGTGTCAAGTGTCCTTGCATATATAATTTTTTGACCAGTAGTGGGCAGTCTTGGATCAACTGCCCATTCAAGAAAAGATCCATCTTACGGAAGTGATGTCACCCTAAAACATTAAACACAAAACTATCTCTCTGACTATAATCAAATACGCTGCAACTATGCTAATAATCAAGACAACACTTAAACTTAAAAACTACATCTGTTTCATACTGACATAAGTGCTGTGTGCTATAATTTAGCTCAAATTTAAGCTGCTCAGAGACAATAGTAAGCATTTAGGCACCAGAAGGCAGCAAAAATGTTTGCTTTGATGAAAACTAAAAACAAGATTTTTTACCTTATGTTTATTATATTATTGCATATTCACAATGATCTTATGAAACAAGGCAAACAAACATTTGGGTAGGAGAATCTTAAAGTATAACAACACACCTCATTTGAAGGTGCAGAAGAGTAAGTGTACCATTAGGAATCAAAATTATTTATTTTTAGATTTTGTCAGTCATACAGGACATGAATGAGAAACATTCTTAAAGTAACTCGTGTGAATTATTATTCTGTACAGTCAATCCAGATATATAAAGGTAAAGGTAATTAATATTCTAACTAAAGTTGAGATACAAAATGGTCGGTAAAATGCATTGTTGTAAAGCAAGAGTGTAAGCTTTGGAAACCAACTGTATAAGGAATGCAGAGAGCAGCTTTCATAAAACAATTCACACAATGTCACCATTCATCAGAATTTTAGATGAACTTTGTTGAAGCAACATTGAATAAAAATACATTAACAACAATTAACATCACCTGCTAAACACAGCATCTTTGCAGCCCATCCAGCAAATCATCACATGGATTCATCTTAGGTATATTTCTGCATTAGGATTTCCACTGATTCACAAAGTCAGTGAGTGAGACGGGAGTGTAGTGGATAGGGTGGAATTTCCTACTGTTTTTTTTTTAATTAAGGTTTTGGGCCATTAGCCTGAGCTTTTATCCCCATCGGCTCCCGCCTCTCAGGTTGTCTGTCCAAGTTGGGGCTGAGGCCCCTGAGTGCTGCAGAGGGCAAGCGAGAAACCCCATTCACCGTCAGTGTTCCACTGTCTATTGGGCAGATATAGTCTGCAGATTCATCTGGTTTCCTCTTTCTGAGGTGACTGAATTGGGTGAATCCCAGCTTCTTTGGCTGAAAACACAGACAAGTCCAACCCATTAACAAATCATTTTGATTTTATGCTGCAACAACCACAGGAAATTTAGATTAGATTGGGCTCTCACCTTTACTTTAGCTGTGGTAGTGAGTGGCACATGGCCTGTGGCATTGCCATACTCTCGCTTCTCCTGTGTGGCCTGAGTCCCCACCAGGGCAGAGAAGGCGGTGGCGAGGTGGCGGCGGAGCAAAGTCTTCTGTGGAGGAATATTTAACAGCAGGGCCAAAGTCTCTGAGCTGAAGCGAGGCTCCAGGATCTGTGGAAGAGCATATTGACAGCAGATGGCATGTAATTCAAGCAAGTGCTGCCAGTATGACTTGAAAAACGTGCAGAAAAACTCTTACAGTACGCAATCACTTACAATCAGCCCACCGTGAACACCACTGCCCCGTAGATTAGGAGCATACTCAGCTAGATCCACTGCTCTTAGCCACTCCATCACGCGATGGTTAGACCACTGAACCACCTCTGAGGGAGAGGGTTGTCTCTGAAGAAGTTAAAAATAATAACATGAATTGCCCTTATATCTCCTTCCATCTCACTCATAACTGTTTGCTGCTTCTTCTAAATACATTAGAAGTGGGCAGAATGAGGCTTAAACAGCACCAGGAAGCAGTTGCATGAAAGGAAAAATGCTCTTTGTTTGAAAGCATTTAACGCCTGTCTGTTGCCATCTTGTGGGCAACCGATGTGATGACATCTGTTACCATTTTAGAGCAGTATCTCAGTCAAACACTCATAAAAAGTACTTGTGCTTGAATGCCTGTAATGTGTTACACTCTTTCAGGTCTGAGTGTTAACATTTCGAAATTAAAACACAAAATGTAGCAAAACATTAAACTGCTACATACAACTCACAATTTCAACTTCCACATACACCTTGCCATCTTGGCTTACCTCTTCTCCTGGCCTACGCCGAAGACAGTTGGGGTTGAACTTATTGGCATGAAGGACATGGATGGCACATTTAATACTGAGATGGTGAAGCTGGCTGGTGACCTTTAGAGTCAAGAGGTCATTCTGAGTGAACAACAAAAGCACATCAGTGAACTTTGTGAAAAGCATACAGATTCATACCATTGTTTCATTTTATGTACATGAAATAAAATTTAAATAAATGTATTTGCAGGCCTCCAATTCAATAGAACATGTTACAGTACATTCAGCATACATCTTACCACTGTGAGGTATTGTATCATTCGACCATCTACTCGTGCTTCATGGAACTGGTCTTTATATTGAGGCAAACCAATATCATCCAACCAGCCTAAAGGGGTAGAAATCAGACATTTATTAATTTCACCCTCAAACCTTTAATGCTGATACACGTATCATCAGTAAAAACATGTTCACTGTAACTGCTCAGTTATGATACAGTTCCTTGTTTTGAATGCTGACCTGTATTTGCATTCTATTCAAATATATTTACATCTCACATTACAATTCTTTGTTTGGGATGAAAAGTCCCACTCCTTATTTGTAGATGTGATTCAAATGAGAACATTCAGCATGTGAAGTTGAAAATATTCCATATAGAACGAGTCTTACGGGTGACCCAGATGTAGTCCAGCTCTGATGATTTCTCTATAACTTTAGTGGTGAATGCATTCAGAGCGAGCTGCAGCTTCTTCCTGTGCAGTGGATTCTTCATACCCATCTCCTGAGGTCAGAAAGGACTGTTTGTCAAAGTGAAACTAAAAACTATGGGTATCATATCATATATTAACATCATGCAATTTAATTTTCCCTGATAAACCCCTTTACATTTCCATTTCTCTCAGATCTAACACTGAAATACAAATTTATAAATGAATCACTGAATTGTTTTGTTCAGTTTAAAATGTCATTAGCTGTCCTGTTTTATTCCCTGACCTTCTCAAAATCCTGAGGTGTGGCAGACAGCAGTGTCTGTCCATTTTCGACCCACTGTCTGGTGAGATTGACATACTGGCCCAGTCCATAGTCCTCTAGCCAGCCACACACCTGCCCCTTGGTCCACTGGCTGAATGGAATATTCAAATCACTGAAATATAAAAGCACAAATCAGATAATTAATGTATTGATTTATTGCAAGTATTCAAAATGGTCATCTTAATACATAAATCACACTATGCATTTACACAAAGCTTAGAGCCTCTAGAGTGTTTAGGAAATGGTGGAGGTGGAGATGAGGCAGGAGAACCAATCTACATTATATTAAAGCAGTCATTCATATGCAGTACTCCATCCTGTAGGAGTACTGGACTACAAGGTTAGGTAAAGGCACACTGAGCTTTACCGTGCAGAGTCATAAGATTCAGGAGTCCGGGTCAGTCTGGGTCCTGCTGTCGCACGCAGTCCCCCTCTTCTAAACTGACCGGCATCTGGATCTGCTGCCTGGAGCCCTCCAGACTGGGTTCTTCGAAGTCTGTATGGATGAGGGTAAACTCTCTGGATGAACACGCTGGAAACTACTTTCATTCTCAAAGTAATATAATAATAGATTTGTCACAATATATTATACAATATATTTACTTTATTGTTGCTAAAAGTAAATGAATACAATAGGCTATAATAGATTAATAATAAGATAAAAGAAGATAAAAGTTATAATATCAAATACTTAAAATTACTGTTGTCTTTCAATACTGAAAGTATATTATATATTAATGATATTATATAAAAAACTATATTAATTATTTACTTGTAAATGTTGTGGCAGGGCAACTGCAGAAGCAGAAGGAGTATTTAATATAGGCATACATTTTCTTTGCATCACATAAACATGTTATTGATACACAATATATTTAATATAAACCATATCTTATTACGACTTCCAGTACATATTTATACATTTTCTAATAAAAAAATCTGAATCAACCACCACACACTGGAATTACTTTACTGTGGTTTATTTAAGAGCGAACAGCGCATCTCACTTGCAGCTTCCTTAGGTTTGTTGAGCAAACAGTAAAGTCATTCCAGTTTGCGGTGGTTGATTTAAATTTTTCCTATGGTCCTGCGACCTACCAGCACCTGACTGTTGGCAGTTCATGGGGAGTTTTGTTTATAAGTTACATATATTTTAATGTTACCCTTTTTTCTATGTTGGTGTGTATTGATGATGTATCGATGTGTTTTCACACACTCACTTTCCCCAGAGTCTCTTGAAGCTCCTGTTATTCTTCATGTACTCTGGTGAGCCCACAGCTCGCTGGCCAGGCTGTGTATTTACTTCAGAATAAAGCGGGGAATTATCGCTCGAAGTGCTGTCATCAACTTTCTCCAACTTTTCTTTAAGAGGTTACAAAAAACACAGTAAGTGTAATAATACTTAAGTACAAATATGGTTCAAATTGTATTTATATAATGTAGAGGGCTACTTACATTTTACAGATGCATTCGATTAGTTTAAAATGGCAGTATACTTATAATAGAGATAATTAGAGCAGACATAGCCTCAATGTAATCTTGCCAAATAAAAAGGCATTTCAATTACGGCATTTTTAAAAAGATTAGATTGTCTGAAATTTCCTGTAGTTGAATCATTGTTAAAGACCAAATTTTGACGATGACTGAGTAGAAACAGTAAAAACTTTTTTTCCTCCTTTCATACCAAACAGAACATTAAGAGCTAAGTGGGGCACGTGTGGTTGTGAGCTTTTTCACAGTGCTCCATTCAGGAGAGAGAACACAGGTTACAGACCACTGATTTTAGCAAATAATCATCACTTAATGTCCCATGAACAGGAAGCAGTTTAAGGTAAATTTTACAAGGTGTGATCTTTATTATATAGGCTGCAGTCAGTTACCGCTCTACAGCAGAACACTGCCGAGAGAAATCAGGGTGGGGCTCAAGTTAAAACTGGTTAGTGAAGCTGAGGAAGGGTGGAGCTGGGATGAATGTGGTCAATCAGAGCAAGAGAGGGTGTGTTTGGTAAGAAAGTCTATCCCATGATCCATCTGTTCTGTCAGGAGCCTCTGCAATTATAGCTGTGATCAAAGGTACAGTGGTCGTCTGGTCAAAGGAGAGTGGTTCGCTCCAAATATGAATACTGCTTTTACTTATGGGAATGACTGGCCTCATGGCTATTTCACAGAAAAAGGAGGTCTGATCCTATACCAGGGATTATTCCTGCAAACTATCCATCATGTCACAAATAACATCCTGTGTAGAGTTAATATGCCTGGATTTACTTTGGCTGGAGTCTCCATCTTCGCTCCCATGTGGAGACCTTTCACTCTGGATTTCACTGCTGCTGTCTCCGATCCCATTCTGCTCTGACAGAGAGGAATTCACAGGCAGTGTCTGACTTCTGGTGTCACCCAGACCACTCTGGATAAACCACACACAGATACAAATATAAAAGAAATCATGCACTTTAAATATACCTCATGTACAAAACACTGCAATGTTCATGCAATTCTGAGTTATCTTATGCATCAATCATGTAAGAAACAGTACAGTAGCTTGTATAACAATTCAAGAATGGAAGCATTCAGGAGTGAGTATACGCATAAATGTCTAATTCTTAGCATATTTGATTTGTATGATGATCCCAAAATACCTTTTGTAAAGGTCCATTTGTTAGGTCATTCATGCTACTTGATAAAGTCTGTGGTTCTGTTCTGAGAAGATAAAAGCACAGTCATCTTAGTTAATTCCAACTATGAGATACTGGAGTTGAGAAAAAGTTGCTTCACTACCTGGAATCGCTGTCTTTCTGGACTGACGAAAGAGATGTTTGCTGGGAGGAAGAACTGTTTGTGGAAACATGTGATACCTGTGATGGGCAAAAAAAATACATTTAGAGAAACTAAAATGATAGTCAAAATTATGTTCATGCAAACAAAAAACTTGAACCAGTATGAGACCGGCTGAAATAGTTTGTACCCACTTCAGACTTGACATCCTCTGATTTTGCACTGGCAGAGTCAGTGTTCTTCATCAGTCCGTGCTCTTCTTCCTCGCTGCTACTTGACTGAGTCCTGCCATTTGACAATGAACGAACAGCAGGTGGAGCTAAAGCAACAAAGAGAAAAAAGATCTGTTCCTAGACTCAAGCAGTGGCATGCATTTCTGTTAAGGAAGGAAATGCTGTGGCTTTCATTATGCTCAAACGTTGATGATAACATAAAATAAATGTTGCGAGGGAAGGATTAGTGGAGTGTATAAGCTCATTACCTTGTCTTGCGCTGTGACTGACCTCTCTGAATTGCCTGCACTGATTCAGGAGCAGAGTGAGCTCTTCAATACGTCGGTCCTGTTCAAGGCCAACAAAACCCAATTAAGATGTTTATCTAAGGTTAGGAAACACACATATGGACTATGCTTCACTATGTTATTGACCGATATGCCACACAAAAGTCTCTCTCTTCTACCATATGGCCTTTACATCAAAGGAGTGGATAAGGAGGGGATTGACACAGGCCTGGATGGAAATCTTAGTTGTGGTAACCAGCTGCGTGGAGTGTGTGTTTTTTGAAGTGGTGCCCATGCCTGGTTTTGCCATGGTTCTCTTAATGCAGCTCACTCCAAAATTAGGCTTGGCAGGTCGAGGCCTACTTAAGTGTGGCTTTGCCTGAAATGGCTCGCCTTGGGTGTGTGTACGTGTGTGTCTTCACTAGTGTGCCACATGTAGGCCCGTGTCTGTAAGTCTTTAAAGTCCAAGATTCTCGGGGAGGGAGGAGAATACAAAAGCCCCTCTGTACTATAAATGGTCGGAGGGCAGCGCCTCTGAGAAATGACAACATCTAAAAACAGTTTCCTTCTAACCTTTTAAACAGCAGTGATGATAGCACTTTTATATACAAGCCAGTAAGGCACACTTTATTGTAGTACACTGATGACAACACACACGCAGCTCTATACTGTATAATCACAGACAGATGTGCTGACCAGAAAGAGATTCCAGATCACCGGTAACTTACCTTTTCATCATTGGCAGCTACCAGTGATTTCATACCACTCCTAAGCTTCTGCAGTTCCTGATCTACAAAGAGAAACCCCACACTGATTATTAATATCGATAGGCAGCTGCTCATGTCATATAAATTAGTGTTTTAAACAGACACATAGTGGCATGTGGTTATTTACAAAGAAAGGAAATGAAAAAAGACATGCTAATATAACATCCCGCACTTTCGTGTCATGTAAACTATGTATTCTGAGATTCAGCCAAGCCTTTTTTTATCCTCCAATCATAGCTTTAGCCATGTCAGCTTTTACATATATGGGCCCACAGTCAATAGACTTTGTAACAACTGCAGGCATACAGGCAGCAATGCTGGAGAGTGACAGTGCCTATACTAAGCAAGGGTCTATCTATTAAGAACAAACAAGACATTATACTTTCAGGAATCCAAATAAATTACAAAGATTGAAGCCAAAAGGAAGAGAGATAGAGCATCATGTAATTTTGGAAACCTGTTGGTGATTGTCAGTGCTGCTGCTCAGAGCAGAAGGAAACAAAACATAATAAAATAAAGAGACTGGAGTCTGGAGAGAGGAAACAAATGAAAGATCAAAAGTAGACATGGCCTGTGGGTTTAAAATGATTTTGATTATGTACCATTCAGGCTTACATTTGGTGTTTAGCCTCTTCCTGTACATCTCCTCTGAGAGAGAGAGAGACAGAGACCCATGATGCGACAGTGTATTAAGGGCCAATACAGACTTTTCCCACAGCTGTTGGAAGTTGCAAGTCAATGAATGCAAAAAAACATTAGTCATTAACTCAGTCATTAACTGTGTCACCTATCAGGCTGGGTAACCCTGTCAGAGAGAGAGTCTGCTGTTGGCAGGCTGGTCGACGGCTTGAAGCTGGGTGCTTTGCTTACCTCTCTCTGAGCTCTCAGGGGATAGAGAGGGTCTGGCCAGCAGCTGAGTGTGCAAGCTCTCGATCTCAGCATTCTTACTGAGCAGAAGCTGCTGTAGACTGCTGATCTCTGCCTGTGGGTGCCACACAGTGAGGGATCTTAGTGGAAAGGACATGCAGTTATGCACAAATGTACTGTATGTGCCAAAAATATTTCTGTTTAAACATGCACAGCTAAAAGCACCTTTACATTAACAGAAACAAGACATGTGCAGGCATCTTAATTCAAAGCACTAGCGCGTGTCCTCACTTGAAACCAAAATGTTGTAAGATATTGATGCTTTTTTTCCACCACTATCTATATACAAAACACCCACAACAAAGCACACAAATGTTTCTTCTTTGAATTTTAGAGAACCAAGTTTGGAGTCTGGAGTTTATAGTTTGTTTTGAAGTAAGTCACAGAGTATAAGGAAAAAAACAGATGGCAATAAAGTTCAGGCTGATCTATTTGCCACGGTGTCTGTCTGTATGTTGTGTATAAGAAAGTGGAAGGTGGAAAATAATTTTTTTGTCTCATATACCACATCATACCCCCCGTTTAAAAGGGAGAGTAAGATACAAACGCTCACACATAAAAGCATTCTCTATTACTCAGTATCTGCTATATCAACATCTGCAGTCAATTATTGTAGTGTGTATTAAGATTTCCTGGTTTGATTAAAAAATATTTGTCTAACAATATGCTACCAGTAACCAGATCTAAACTAAGAATAATAAGATATTTCCTGCCAAATTAGTAGTATTTGTTCATCTTGTAATTCTGGGTAAACATCCAGTTGATGGAGAGCTGCCAGTAGGATATTTGGTGCTTTTAAATCAACATATTAAACCTTTTTTCCCTGTATAATTCTGATGTCAATCATGTTGTGACTGTCGGTTGGCCAGACAGCACTTACAGGAGTTGCATGGGATTAAAAGTGAAGTAGGAGATCTGTCTTTTAAAATCAAACTACAGCACAGTGAGATATGTTTAATACACAGGCAGCTGTTGTACCTGAAGGGAAAGACAGCAAGAAAAATTGAGAGAGATAATGAAATAATGAGACAGATAATCCAATCTCTGAGAAGTTAATGCGGTGGGATCAGGCCAAAGTATACAAGGAGACAAGACATTAAATAACGACTAAGCCATCATTAAACCTATTTCTACAGTACTTTAAAATAGAAGGTAAAATAGTTCTCAGACTTCTTAAGAAAACATAGGTGTCCGTGAATGAGAGAGTGTGTGCAAGACAGAATGACTCACTTAACTGGCTGGAACATCGGATTGGACAGCATTTAGGAAAGTTGGATGGACAGTTAGCAGTGGAATTTGGGCACTGATGGTGTATTGCAAACTCTAGACACCATGAAATTAAGAACTTTCTTTTACCTTTGTTGCTTTGAGTTTCTTCTCGTACTGTAACTTCTGATCCTCCAGGTGCTCCACTTTGTCCTTAAGAATCCTGAGCTCCTTAATTAATCCCTAAAACAGAACGCATGAGAACATTTAGCTGGTTTAAATATTCCAATGATGTTAGTAAATCTGCACATAACTCTTTCATAACACGCAACATTAAATGACATGAAATGCACCTTTTAGTGCTGTCACACACTGATGCATAACAGATCAATGCAATTAGTTTTGCTGTTTTTCCAAACAAACTGAACGAGTTGCACATGGACAGTGAACACTGCTAAGGATATTGGGCGGGTGCTTGTTTCATTTGCATCTGAATTTAAAGATTACACACACTAAAGTGAGACAATCCATGCTGAACACAACATTAGAAGTCATGCTGGCAGGCTGTGCCTACACTTTCTCCTCCACAATGGTATTGCCGTTCTGCATCTGAGCTACCCTCTTCCAGGCTGTGTGTGTTCCCATCAGGCCCATCTGGAGCCTCTTCTAGTTTGTGCGTCACCCTTGAGGTTCTGTCAGAGGATGGCCCAGGTTTTGAGCCCGGGCCCTCAGTGGACTCAGTAGGGCACGCCACTGGAGAGCTGCTGTCAGCCGGGATCTCCAAGGCCTTTTTCTCCTGGATCTTGCTATTGATCTCCTTCTGAAACCTACACATCTGCTCCTGCAGCTCACTAATGAAATTCACTACAGTCTGTCAGATGCAGTGGGGGAGAAAGAAATGAGAGAAATGTTTAGAAAGAGAAGAGGATATACTATACAATACGGTATATCTGTGTTTGTGTATGAATACATTGTTGAAGAAGTGATCTTTTAAAACAGCTTTTCCTTCTACCTCATGTATGTGGTCTTGAGTCTGCATACATAAATATGATAGTGAACATATATTAGAAACACAAATCATTGTCCGGTCTCCATATACAGACAGACTGGGCCAATCAGTCTCATCTGGTGAAGACATATTTTTTTGCATTTGTTCATAAACCTGAACTTCCCTCTTGCTTTGGCCATAAGTGTATAAACATTACTGTGCCATTTTCCTAAATTAATGTACATCTAATTTCATAAATTGATAAATTCAAAGAGGGGTGATTGGGTTTGCCATCTTTTAGAGGTGATCCGTGCCCATGTTCCTTCAGAAAGAGTATAAACAGCAGGCGAGCTATGCTCGGACTGTGGACAGAGGAAGTGTCACTTGGGGTCCAGTACAGCGGATATGACAGATGATATTGAGTGCCTCCATGGCTAAATTTAACTATGGCTTTACTGGCTCCACAGCAAGGAGGCTTCCACGTGTGTGTGTGTGTGTGTGTGTGTGTGTGTGTGTGTGTGTGTGTGTTTGTGTGTGTGTGTGTGTGTGTGTGTGTGTGTGTGTGTGTGTGTGTGATTGTGCAAACATGCATCTGTGTGGACATGTTTGTGTAGTAGAGGCAGCACGTGGGAGGCCAGTAAAGTGTTCAAAGCAGATTTTTTTCTGTTTTTCTTAAGTCCAAGCAGCTGTTGTAGGGAAAGTTGGGTTTGTGCACATGATGAAAGCAGGATTAAGAAGTGCTGAAACACTGCTGTCTATTAAAACACACCTACAGTATGCCATTTCTTTATAAGTAATTTATTCATATTTTCATTTTGTTTGTAGTTGTCAAATGTTTTTGGGAACATGCCTCCAGTTAGGAAGAGGGTCCTTTTTCCAGAATGGCCAAGTCAACCTTTATCCACCACCACAAACTAAATTCTCTGGGCTGAAGCCTACACACACTCATATTTGGCCCGTCATCCATCATGCCAGCTCCGCTATGCCTGAACTCTTTTAACCTGAGGACACAAAGGCTCTTTGACCAGCAGTGTTTTGACAGTAACTACATATATTACAGTATCCTGTCTGGTAGTAGCGCTGCTTTCCCTGCTTCCCCTGCTTCCCCTTCTCCAACTCATATGTGCCACTGAATGCCCAGGATGTCTGCTGGTAACCTAACACATCGGTCTTAAGCAAATACATGATTCAGTTTAAACTGACAAAATATTTAAACCCCTTGGAGACTTTTTTCCTGTACACTTTGCCCAGGAACAACAAAGCCAGGGTTTGGGTAAATGTTCCCTTCCATCTGTCCAGAAAGTGTTTATGGTCTTCCATAAAATCAGCAGCTGAATTTAAGGTTAGATCCATCAGAACACAAGGCAGATTTTTTATTTTAACTAAACTAATTCCCACTTGCAAACATATCAAAAATATTAAATTGAATTGCAAAACTAGTCAAGATGGACATTTTTGATAGCTAACACTTGAGAAACTATGGTACTTACTAATGAAAAGCAAGTAAATAAAGTCTAAGTAGTGATATGCCACAACAAGGCAACCTTGTTTTCATGGAGCTTTAAATAAGTTCTGACAAACAACAAAACCATATCTACTGCCCATACTGTACTGTACATAAAAAAATAAAACCTTGCTGATCACAAGGGATAGGCATGTTACTGCCCTACCTCTGCTTTGTGCTGCCTTTCAGCCCCTTGGCCCTGTTTTCCCTCCATGTCTGCAAGCTTTATTTTCAGGTAGGACACCTCCCCCATAAGACTCAGCTTCTGGTTCTCCAGTGACGTCCTATGCAGGAGCTCCTGTCATCAACAACATAGAATAAGAGCATGAAGCAACACATACAGATACAATGGTACATTAATAAACTATCCCTTCTATGACACACAATGCTCAGTACTTACTGAACAAAGGCAACATTAAGTATGAGGCAGAGCACGCTTCTAGTTCCGTAATGACAGTCCCCTCAGACAAACCCACTGGTTTCAGACGCTGTTTCAGGGGCTAAATATACACAACCCATGACCACTATTTATAATGCCTATTTCACAGCTCTCTCAAAGCACACAGCAAGGGGGGGGAGAGAGAGAGAGAGTGACAGAGTGAGAGGTGCCAAAAGCATTTAAAACATTCATAGAAAGAACATCAAAATAACTTTGACAGGTGCATTTTCCTGTCAGTGTGAACTGCAGCCAATCAGCCCGGTGCTGAGGGAGACTATGGGTCTGCTATACAGTTCTGTGACTTTCTATCCTGAATGACTGTCAGTCCTGAGAGCTAAGCCAGGCAATGCAGGCAGATGTATTATTAATTTGGTTGATCTCAAGCAGGTGCTAAATCACTTAAAGTCCAGAAATGAGCATCTGAGGCAGGCAAATAGTACATATGGATACATCCATTTAAAACGCTGGCTTAGGAAAATATCTGGGCTTCTTCTAGAGTGCACATGGAAAATATTAGAGCTTTGTCACCAGGAAGAGATTTACGGCTCAGGTCCAAAGCCTCATAATGACCATGTCTCCAAGAAACCAGCCCTGGCTGCCCTTTGGTACACTGCACACATACAGCGCTGCGCATAGAAGTAGACACTGAGCATTAAGTTCACAAATAGCTGATGGATACGTTCACTCGTGAAATTAGTCTGAATAAGTTGAAACAGTCCACTTTGAATGGAAATTTCACAAAAGCAACACTGTAAGAATGAGATTTTTGCGTAATACCTGGTTCATCTTACTCCAGTGTCTGCCAGCAGCAAAGTAAAAGTAAGTGCATTTCCCGCATGGATGCAATGATTTGAAGCGTCTTGTAGTTTCAGTAGATTAAAGCTTCATACATCCATTCCATTCAGAGTCCTTTGTAATGTTTAGCGGAGTCTCTGTTGTAGATTTGAAGTCAAAAGCAAACAGCTGAAAGTTTCAGACATACAACTCTTAAAGGAGCACCACCCCTATTCTTTCTCCCTCCCATCTCTCCACCTTTTTCAGTAGTTCCTCCCTTTCTCATTTGTCGCTCTTGCCTCTGTTGACCTATCCCTCTCTCTTTCTGTGTGTGTTAGTGTGTGTGTGTGTGTGTGTGTGTGTGTGTGTGTGTGTGTAAGCATGCAGGAACTCACTTCTGGTGGTTACAGGTTGAGGGGTGTGGCTAATGTGCTGTAATCACCTGCCCAGACAGAGCAGGCTGGCCCCGCATAAACCAGAAATACACTCTGAGACACTGTCCTGGAATGAGCTAAATATTTTGGTTGTCAAGGTAATCGGCAGCCAGATACTCTGGAATTTCTGCCCAGGAAGCAGTACTCATCCTAAATTACATTCTACAGCTTATGAGAAAAGATTGGATCTACAGAAGGGTCATTTTTTTTAAGATAGATGGACAATCTGGGACCCTGTCACATCTCATTATAGAGAAGAATAATATTGATATAAAATCCCTGGATGTCTCCTGGTGAAAGTCAGAGTTTCCTGATTTTGGTCCAGCAATGTATCAAGCACTTGGTATTGAGTCCAACGTAAGATTTCTTGGTTTGAGGTTTTGTAGAGTCTGATTTGAGGTCTGTAAAGTCATGTACCTGCTGGAGCATCTCCTCTGTGGAGTCGAGTTTGTGCTGATGCTCCACCAGAGAACTCTGTAGATCGCTGATCTTGGCCCCCTGAGCCTCCACCTGGTCTGTCAGCACACTCACCTGTGTGTATTTGCATACATGGACAGAAATTAAGTAGAGATGAGAATCATATTTCTACACCAAACCATGAAAATAAAACTGTTTCGCCACAATTTTGTTTCACATTTTATCACTTAATTACAGCCTAGGCCTAGCAAAATTCTTTGGGCCTCATTCTCTCCTTTACTATAGAGTTTCTCACAGTGTACATTAATATCAGCTATTTTCACATAATTGCTGTGCTCATTTTTTGTTGAATTTTCTACATCTGTGCCAGATCAAACAGTGCAAATATTTCCTTTGAGAAGAAATGAATGATCCTTTGTGCCTCAGTAGGTGCTTGCAACACTTCAGTGGCTCCAGCAATGTCAGCAAAACGCAGGACAACTAAACCTTCAGAGAAAAACTATTAAGACCACATAATAGCTAATCACATGCTAAAAGGCAGGTCCAACCAGCCAACTGGAGCGGATTTTCCAAAGGAATGTTTTATGTGCAGTCTGAAGAAAACAAACAGGGCACCTGCTCTCATACACACCTACACGCTAAAGCACATGGTGCTGCTAGCCTCAACCTGTCTGAGATAAGCACTTGTTCAGCAGCACTCCTGATGAACACACACATATACACAGACAAACACATCACACAAAACAGGACATTCTAGTGTTGTGACAGCACCAAACCCAGCTTTATAAGTGTTGCTTGATCTATGCAGTGAAACGAAATACAGCAATTACGCAACATTTACAACACAATGCTCTGATCTACCTTTGCCCTTGCTCCTACCTTTCCTCATCCCTCTCCTCTAACACTGTTACGTGATATGGGCACTTTGTAGAATCAGCTCCTGCTAACAGCGTGGTGTCATATGTCCTCTTATATTTGAGCAGGCTCATATCCAATAGGATTGATTATTCTTATATAAATGGATGTCCAGGGATCATTTAGGGTAAATCCACTGCAACAACCTTTTTAAAGGTCATTTACATTTTATACAAAAAGAAACAGCGAAACAGAGATAATATTGTTTTGTATTTAGGAGTGACTAATCTCACCTGTAGAATTAGTGACTCTTTGTCTCCCTCCAGACGGGATAACCGCTCCTGGTAGGACTCACTGTTGCCGGATGAATGGAGGTTTACCTTCCGAATAAAGGTCAGCTATTAAGTTCAGTAGGTACACTGTTAATACAAAACAGTTGCCCAATGGGTCAAATTTGGTTTTCCGTAATGAGGTTGCAGCCTAAGACACTTACACACAGATCCACGTAGCCACACACACAAGGTCTCAAACTTCCCACTGTGTCAGTGGGACGTGCGTGGAGAAGTCTGCAAGAGGTTTACAAGTCCTAATCCAGCATTAAAAGTTGTGTACAACATTTTATACTGGTTGATTAGTGGAAAGAAATGTTGGGTGAAGGCTGAGTTCTGGGCTGCTTGTGTAGTCAGAGATATTTCAGAGGGAAGTAAAGTGCAACCAAATGAGCTCAAATTTCTCAAAAATCCAGGCTTTTAACCACAATCATGGAAACATTATGTAGCCCAGTGTCCATCATCCTCAGCCTGCCAGCTCAAACGGTTTGCAATAATTTTTAAATGCCATTAAGCCTTTAATATACTCTGGATTCATGTGTTTTAGCAGTGTAATATACTGTAAGTGTTATTACAGTTACTCTTTTACTTAACTTTTTGTGATTATTAGCGTTTGTTTCCCACACAGTCCCTCCTCTAGTCCCTTTGATATGTTTCTTAGTTCTCAATAATAGACCCTGGCTTACTTTAAATTGTTAGCAGCTCCCTTAGTTCTTACTGTGTGCTTTTTCAGCCAATTAAAACAACCTTGGACTCTAACGTGAATAATCTCCCGTGAGGTTTATGTCTAATGAGCAGCACTGAAACTGTTCTTCAAGAGTTACTATGAGTGACCATAATAATATATACGTTGTAATTCAATCCCAAACAATAGTCCAGACTTTCTATGTGAAACTGCACAGTTGTAATTGTTGTTGACACCGTCAGAGAAGTGTTTTTTGAGGCTTTAGTTTTTTATGTGGTTGACCTGAGATGAAGGAGAAGAAATTGCTGGGCTATTGTACTGCACAGCATTAGATGAGTGTTTTAATTTCTCTTATCATTCAGTGTGTTTTCATATATTCATATATGTGATTCTTGTAAAGCACCTTGTGTATTTTAGTCATAGTTACTTAGATACTTACCAAAGATAGTGTATCTCCAAACAATATCATAAAGATCAGTCATATCTCTGTCATAGTCTAGTGTGTATAGTATTTATATTATCAAGTAATAGCTGACTTGTCCCCTATACATTCTGAAGCTGCGGAAATTGTACTTAATAATGACTGACAAGTATGTCTATCATTCAGTAAGAATTATAACCCTTTTGAGGCAGTTAGGACTAATGACCTCCTCATGGTAGCAAGATGGTATGCGTTGTCCAAAGACTCCCTATAGGTAAGTGGCAGGAAATGATCTCAGCTGACATGCATATCCATTTATCTTTCTACTCTCACACTTTCACCTTATGGCCAGTTTTGCAGACTTGTCTAGTGTCACCTCAACAGGGATCCATTCGAATATATTTTAGCTGTTGTGTCATAATATTTCATTACAGCTTTAATGAAAAGCCTACCATAAACTTTTCCAGTCCACGAGGAGATTGTATATAAGAGTGCACGTGTTGCATATTCTGCAGCACAGCACAACTCACAAACAAAACATGTCCTCCTCCCAAATTATGTACCGTGCCAACCATAATTATGTTGTTAAAGCAACAACAGTGCAAGAGCAAAATAAACACAATCCTTTGCAATGCTTCTGCAGTATGAAGGTATGAAGAGCAGACATGCAAGTGAAGAATGTCTTACCTTCCTAAGCCAGGCAAAATGTTTGTAGAAATCAATATCATACTCCATTCTGCAGGCCCATTGTACAGTACAGCAGGTCCTGGCTCTTAATGTTAGATACTAACAGAATTTAGCCAGTGCTATAAAGCATCAAGAGGAATGAACGGATAACAAAATCCACAGCAAGACAAAGCAGGGCTCTAGCTGTTCTGCACTCTTGAGCTCCCTGAATCCAACTCTCCTCCTTTTACAGACCCTCCATATTGTAATTGTAGAGAGAGCAGAGAGGACCTTAGTCCATGTGGTTTGGAGTCTGGGCAGCCTGAGACTTTTAGAGCCGAGCCGAAAAACTCAAACTATGCCAGCTGGCTATACTCCCTTTCTTTCTTCTCTTTACTTTTTTCTACCTCTTTCTAACTCCCCCTTTTTCTTTCTCCTGCTTCCTCTCTGAAGCACACTCAAAGTGCTCACTATTTACCACATCTCTGCATTTCTGCTGCACCTTATGATCTTTTACTGTCCTCTCTTTCTCCTGTCTCCTGTGCCCCTCTCTGTCTGTCTCTAGCCTGCTCTCTTGCTCTGTCTGAAGTACCTCTCGGTCGAGCTAATTTTTGCGGGGCTTCCTAAAGGGGCACAGGGGAGAGGAAACTTTCTGCAGCACATGCTTGTCAGATGTGGTGCAGAGCAACAAGTCAGTAAAGACGACACAGAAAGGGGAGGTGGAGGCAGTGGAGGAGACTGAAAGGGAACGTGAGTGTAAAGTTGACAATAGCAAATTTAAAAAGAGTAGAAGAGGAAAAATAAACAAACAAACAATTGTTTCACAGACGGGAGGACAGGAGTAATGCAGGGGTACAAGAATGGAGGAAATAAGTGGGAATTGGACAATGAAAACAGGGGTGCAACTGCTTGTACTTTAAACAGGAGCTCTGGATCTCATTACCGGTGCAGTTTGCAATAGATCCAGCTTCCAGCTCTCTACTTCTTAGCAGACAGGAAAAAGCCCTCCAGATGTTGATGACCAAGATCAAAGACCACCATATTAAGTGACTAATAAAACCCATGGACTGTAGTAGTAGAATATGGTAGACTGTGCCTTAGCACAACTCTCTAACAGAACCCTTTCTCATATATTGAATATTTCAGATTGGGTCTTGGCTTTGCATACTGGGTGTTATATAATGCTGTTACATTTTGTCTTCCATCCCTGTCTGAGTGTTGAGGGCCTTCAGATGATAGTGACGCAGTACTCACCTCATCTCGCTCCAGCCATTTTAGTATAACGTGTGCCGTATCAGTGGAGACTTGTTTCCTGAGAGATTCCTGTTCTTGCTCACTCCCCTGGCCCTCCAGCACCACCCTGAGAGCCTCAGTCAGCTGAAGAGCATTGAGGGCAGGGTCCACGCTTGGGGGAAGGGTCAACTGTGAGGTACACTCTGAGGATTGGTAATCCTGGCCACCTAACCTCATGAGAGCACTGAACAGCCCTTCGCCCATTTTTCCTAGAGGAAAGAACAACAGGAAATTTGATTACTCCAGCATCCTAATTTGTTGAGCATCAGTACTGAGTGTGCAACAGATGACTGGCAGGCTGCAGTGCCAAAGAATAGTTCTTAAAATGACCTCTTGAGGGCACCATTGCGCTCCCATGTGGCTCGCTGGATGTAAATAGCATCAAATAGCTGTGTACTGAAGACTGTGGGTTTTGAAATCCACAAATTAGAGGTTCAACTTGTAGGTTACTGTAATCATCATGTCTAAGTTGCATAAAGTACTTTTCATATATGCTATCTGAAGTTGAATCAAAGGTACAGTAATGCTGTGAGGACACAATGTGGACAAATTTGTCCCGAAAATAGTTTTGTAATGTAGATTGTGTGTGTTTTCAGTGACAGTGTCTGACTATTAGTTGTTATCTGTAGCATAGTTTGTCATTACAGTGTGCTAATGGTTGGATCGTCACCCCTATTAATAGAACTTTCTCCTCTGACCCCGGTCAAAAACACTAACAGGCTGCTGAAGATGTGACAAACAGCACTGACTCAAATGTATCACCTCTGCTAGAAAATGCAGAAAGGAAGACTCTGGAAAGTTAATTGGAGTTTAGGCAATCATGGTAGAGCAATAATATGCAAAAGTGAAGAGTGAGTGCCTGATTGAGCGAAGAAGGAAAAAGAGACGAGAGATTACAGAAAAGTTCAAAGTACTCATCTAATCAAAAACCTACTTATATTTCAGTCAAACAACTAAAACAAAGTGGTTTCCCCTCCTCAAAAAAGGCTTTACTAACTCTTTTTCTCCTGTTCGTAACTTATCCATCACATTTTTAAAATCCTTACAATGTTTTTTTTTTCTGTACTATAAATGTATGTGAAAATCATGTGGGTATAGTGCCGGTTTTACGCAGGCCTGCCATTACAAACTGGCCAGTCTATTGAAGGTTTGATAATGAAAACAGAAACTCTTACCAGCAATAATGTCATCCATTTGCTCCAAGGCAGCCTCCAACATGTGGCTGGCATTTGACGCCATGGCAACAAATTGTCTTTTGTAGCAGCACTAGCAGATCCTCATCTACTGATATGAAGAAGAGTGTTAGCTGTTGGAATGAGAGAGTGGGAGATCTTCGACAGAAAGACACAGCGTCGCAGGCTACTCCCCTCCCTTGTCACACTTAGATCTTTTTACAGCATAGCTACAACAGCTGTCCTGACATCGGAGTGACTTCCAAGTAAATAACCTCCTGAATGTGGCTTTTGGGTTTAAACTCTCCTCTCATTTTGCGGCCATGGGGCCATACCCATTGTCAGCACTGTTATGCACATGAGGCCAAAGCTCATATTTAGAATAGTTTGTTTCTTTGTTTCTTTAAGTTTGTTTGTATATATGTTCACTCTACACCAACTACATTTGTGAATGAATTCTGACCAGTTAGTGCAAAAAACTAAGTGGAAGAAGCAACAATAACTATATATTTGGCTTAAAACTGTTTTCTGTTGCAGCCACAGAGGTCACATCAGCACATTGGACCATGGTAACCAGATTTTGATTGACAGTGATGACAGAGAAGACGCTTTGTTGTAATAACAAGCAATGCACAATGAAGCTGGAAAAAGCAGCAGCTGACTGAGCAGTTGCACCCATAAGACCTTGGGGTCTAGTAATAGTTCATTCATTGATATTAGAGTCAGGGTTGTGACTTGCATAACATAATTACAATACTAACACACAGCAGTTACTTAGACATTTGGTAAGCTACCATGTTTTATTGCTGCTCTGTTGTAACCAAACAGCATCCGCAAGATAAGCCATGTGAAACAATGAATTAATTGTTAATTATACATCTTAAGGAAAAGCATTCCTTGGGAAAGAGATCACCTGTCACCTGAAGAGAACATTAATCCATGTAGATAAAAGCCAAACAATCTAATTTGTCATTAATATTATTAATTCATATAAAACAAGTTAATCTGCATTTCATTTAACATGTCTATGTTGCTTCAAATGGCCCCCCCGAGTTCAGCAAACTAAGAACTATTGCTTATGCCTGCATGTGATATAAGAAATGAAATGATGTTACACTTAGACTTGTTGTGTTACCTTACTAACCTCTATAGAGAAGCTTTATTTTAGCTTTAAAAGTATACTAATTAGCACAATGGAAGAGATACAGCTCATTCATTTGTTTGTATTATTTTATATTCAATAAAACATGAATCTGTCAATTATTACTTAGCATTGATTCATCCATTCTCTTTGGGAGGATTACTGCACAAATGCCACTAGATTATACCTGATCGACTTTAGATTCTCCTTTAGTCTAATTAAATGATTTACATGACTGATTTTACAAAATAAGCACTTTCTATTTATTACCTTACTTGTTGTTTTAGTACATAAACCGTGCCATGTTATATACAGTATGGCCAACAGGGTGCATCACTAGTCAAGAAAAAAATAACATATCCGCATATATAGAGATCTCTGTCATAAATTAAGATTACTTCTAAATAAATAAACATGCTGCCGAAATAATTAATAATATATGGACTAAACGTATACAGAAAATATGGTACTTTTCCAGCATGTATCTATAAGTAAGATATATATTGACATCTGTTGGTGCAATTAGGGCACATATTTCAAATGGGGGGATGCAAGAACAGAAATGATTTGCAACTTACAGAAAACCAACCGTTGTACATTTTTTTTTATATGGAATACATTTTTTAAGGATCTTTACAGAGAATGTGCATGTGTTTAAATAAAGAGCATATGCTATGAATAATATATTGTGGTTAGTACATTTTTCAAACATATCTATATGTAGCAGTTTATTATTATTATTATACTAATTTAACAATCTATATCACCAGTCATGTCTGCCATGTTTTGGTGCCTGTTGTCCTGTTATTATTCACACTGCAGTGCTACTTAGTCTTTGAATTCCCAGAGTACAGACAGATGTGAGAGGAGGAGGAGGTCAGAGACCTGCCTTGTTGTCTGTAAAGCCGAACAAACCATAGTCACTCTCCTGGTCAAAAGCAAGCACCACCATCAAATTCCTGAGAGAGGACAGTGGAAAAAAAATAACATTGGTCATTATTATACAGTAGACTAGGAAACATATTTGTACCCTGCTGTTGGGATTGAGACAGATATTCCTCATGAACCTGTTCTGAGTACAGAGATTTCAAAATAATGTTTGTTCCAAAGTTTTGAAAAAAGCTTCACAACCTTGCCAAATAATGAAACGCTATTGATGGAGGATGAAAGTATCACTTGGCAAGCTTTGAAGTAAGTCTAATCCTATAATAATAATAATAGAAGACAAAATAAGCGAAAACCTGTCATATTTTACTTTTTTCATTTCCAGCCTTCTACATCTGTAAGAGCCCCCTGATCACATATTTGTATTTGGAGTTATCTCGTGTCATTAATATGGTAATAATATTAAAGATCTACAACATTTTTAGCTATTGTGCTTTGTGCTGTGTGTAAGGTATAAAGACATATAATAGAAAGAATGGAGTGACACAGTTTCAATATAAATGCTTTTATACAAGCACATTTTATTACTCTTTTATGTCCTTTGGCTACTCTTTATGTCAAAACAAAAAAATGAATATTCATTTATGTGATAGTGTGTGCCAGTGAATGCAAGAAAGAGAGACAGTGAGAGAGACACCTAGCTGAGGCAATGTGGTCAGACGTGTTTATTCCAATTTCCAGAAAGGCAAATAACATGCGATGGGTTCTGAAGGTTGTTCCACTTCTTAACAGAACTGTGACTTGATTTCAGGCTTTATGCTTGAATTATCACAGGGTGTGTCATTGTGAATTATTTCACTCCCCCCATACAGACCATTAGCTAAACTGTAATGGCTGTCATTTCTTAGTGTTGTGACAGTAGCATCAATATTTATATGGAATTAAATATTATTAAAAAAAGATTATATAAATTCTCATTATTTAGTCAATTATAAGAATGATAACTTAAATTACAGCATACCTACAGTGCTTTATATGTACTGTGTATTGTGGACACTTAAAAAAACACTGACCTTGGTCTCACCAGTATGTTCACACTAATGTAGTTTCCAGAGAGTGGAGAATCGATCTTCTTGAGGATGAGCTACCAAGCCATGATCAGTTTAGAGACTGCTCCTCACCAAGGGTGATGGGAAATGCACAGCATGAGACACTAGTGCCTTGTTTGTATCCGTCACACTCGCAACACTAACATCGCTGCAAAACACGATAAAAGACTGTTTTTTCTGGGGATGAGATCAAGACATTTTCTCTCAGACTCTCCTCTATCTTTTTGTTCTTCATTCTATTTCTGTTGCCTTGTTTCTTCTTTGTTTCTCTAAGTTAATTACTCAGCAACAATGCAATTGTTGCAATTGATGATTTTCTAATTGAAGTCTCCATGTATTGAAAACCTGGGTACAGAAAATATATGTGGAATTTGAATGTGAATATGTTCCTAACATTGCACCCACACAAACAAAATAGAGATGTCAAAGATGAATAGGAGCCACTAGAAGTCATTTAATTATCTCCTATTATGTATGCGCTTATTTTTTTCCCCTAATCTTTTGATAAAAATCTGTTATGAGATTTTCTCTTACTGTTTTCAGATGTTGCATGGACCTGGTCCACAAGTTTAAATTAGGGGATCCAATAATTGATGACTCTTTCCTGATTTGTTGTGATACTGTGCCTTCCCAGTTTCCTAATAATCAAGGATGACTTCACTGTGTCGCAACCAGTATGGCAAGGAGGATTTAAGATTTGAAGAGAAGTGAATTGAGCCTGTGATCTAGCGGAGGTTTGAGTACTCTCCATTAGTTCATGGACAGTCAACTACAAATAGCTTTACAGACCACATGCAGAGAGACAGCAAACCACGGAGTCAGCAATCCCATATAGTACCATATGTTGTTCTGTTAGTGCTGCAGTGAAATTACTCACTCGTGTTAAAAGTACAGTAAAAAGAAAAACTGAAGGAGACTAAGATGTTATACTACCTTATGATATGTGAATGTATCGACACTGGAATACAAGGCCTAGGGGGCCACGCGTCTGGAGACAACTACCCATTTTCTGCATAACATTACACCCAAGAGAAGATATGGTTCTGTGATTTATGTTTTCTCTTATCTAGTCATTTTAGACTGCTTTTCAGCAAGTCAGCTGCACAAAGAAACAATACAGTCATGGAACAAATTATTAGACCACTCTTGTTTCTTCAGTTTCTTGTTCATTTTAATGCCTGGTACAACTAAAGGTACATTTGTTTGGACACATATAATGATAACAACAAAAACAGCTCATAAGAGTTTAATTTAAGAGCTGATATCTAGCCATTTTCCATGGTTTTCTTGATAATAACCAAAATCACTTAAGTTCTTACATCAATAGCTATGGCATTGTACTGCCAAAAACAGTGCTTTTAGGCATTCCATGTTTTCTTTTCTGTCTGTTTTAGTCACATGATACACACAGGAGTTAGTACTTGATTGCATAACCATGTTTTTGATGACTGCAGCCATGCGTCATTGTTCTGCTGTCACAGCAGCCCATTCCTGTTGCAAAAATTCCAACCAACTTGCTTTGTTTTTGGGCTTGTGGTTCTCCATTTTGAGTTTGATGATGTTCCACAGGTTTTCAATTGGATTTATATCTGGTGATTGAGCAGGCCAAGGCATGGTTCGAATGTTCTGGTTCTCCATCAAGGCTTTAACTGACCTTGCCTAACCAGTAAGTTGGCTGGAGTGGGCATCAACTCAAAATTGGATTCATCACTGAAGAGAACCTTAGCCCAATCATCAACAGTCCAATCTTTGTGATCCCTAGCAAAGAGTAACCGGGCGTTCCTCTGCCTTTCATTGATGAAGGGCTTCTTCCGTGCCCTGTGTGACTTCAGACCAGCTTCAAGAAGTCGGTTTCGAACTGTCCTTGCTGAACAAGTCACATTTCTCAACAGTGCCCACTCATTTTTAAGGTCCCTGGAGGTCTGACGACGATTCGTGACACAGGAACGGATGAGTGCACAGTCATCTCGTGGGGTAGAAAGACGTTTCCTGCCTCGACCAGCTAGCTATTTGGTAGTACCATGCTCGGCTTGCTTTTTCTTGGTGTAATGAACGGCTGTCTTGGAGATCTTCAGTTTTTTGGCTACCTGTCTCTCACTCATGCCAATTTCCAGCAGTGCCAAGATGGCTGCCTTTGTGGCTTCACATAATTAATTTTTTTTAGGCATTATGTCAGAGCTGACAACTTCTGAGTTGTGCTATGGCTTGAATGTAAGCAGGAAACCGCTCTAGGCCTTTGCATGTGCAGTGCTGCTTATGACATGAAATGGCCCATTATATATCCTGGGAATACAATTAAGCTTAAGCATGTCAAATAGTATTATGGAATCAGCTCCATTTTTGTCGTGTTCATTTCATTCTTCAGGTAATATACCTTTAGTGGTACCAGGCATTAAAATGAACAAGAAATTGAAGAAAACAAGGGTGGTCTAATAATTTTTTCCATGACTGCATGTTATATAAGATATGGATTGTATGATGTATGCTAAAGCAGCCAGTTTAAATACGGTATGTGTCCACAGTCTCCATTTTACAAAAGTAATTAGACACCAGCGTAATTAGAACGGCATACCCTAACACAGCATTGAAATTCTTAAAATTGTAAGTGTGGAAAACAAGACACTCAAAACCTCATTAAAATGTAAGAGAGTAAGTAGAAGAGACCACAAAAGCATGCAGCCCTAACTGCGATATATTATTGCCTCTGTTACAGATGTTATTTGCAGTTAATTGTTAATCATATAATTGAAGAAAGTTGACATTGAACCTCCCAATTTAATTTCGGTTTCTGATGTGCAAAACATCTTATTCATTTTACAGGTTTTGGAAAAAGTTAGTTAGCTGAAACATTAGCTTTCCCCTTGGAATTCTGCATAGTTTAATTAGGAAGGCAATTAAATTGTGCAATAATTTTCTTCATAAGACTCTTTTTTATTCATGTGTCCTCCTTTTTGTTTGTTGTAGTCTACAACAGAAGAAGTAACAGTTGCATGCAACATTGTAGGCCCAATCTCTACAATAGCAGTAATAGCATTACTAGAGACACAGGGCAGTTGCAACGCAGAATATTTATGTTGTTTGCCATAATACCTTGTGCGCTGGAGCAGCTTGCAGAGGAGTGTGACATTGCTTGGACGAGAATCTGCACCACAAAGTTAGATCATTGTTCTTGCCTAAATAAAGTCAGGTGAGGATGGAGAATCTGCTCTGATGGGAGATTTACGTAAGGGTCTTAATCACAAGTAATGGTAAAAAGGAAATCAAGACTGACCACCAGAGGGAGCATTTGCTGCAGTGTGCTAGACAGTCTACTCTGGGTCCTAGACCCTGACCATAAACAATATACAGCAATAACATCTCCTGTTTTACAGTTATTTACTTATTATTTATTATTGCTGTTGGTGCTGTTCTGCATGTCCACATGTCAATACTCACAATTTTAACTTCCAGTTGTAATGCATCTATTTATGCAGTATGTGCAATGGAAGAAACAACTGTCTGTGATTAATAGTGCTCATTTATCAATAGCTATTTTTCTGCTTGCTTTAAATCTCAAAAAATTTGGCAAATTGTGTGCTTTATATTACTACGACTACTTTATATTTCCAAAAAGTATATTTTGTTGGCTCAAGAAAAGTGTATTGCTTGCCTAGTTCCACTGAAGACAGAATGATTTGTTTCCCATGTTCCAGTAGTTCACACTCATAATAGCAAGTGGAAGTAAAATTGGTTCTTTAAAATCATAGAGATGTCCTATCCCACTTTATTCCATTGCCAGCAACAGTGTTGCCACAGTTACTTTCAAAAAAGGAATCTGATTACTGCTTTAAAAAATAACTTAGTTACTTTACAGATTACTTGATTTCAAAAGTAACTAAGTTAAATTACAAGTTACTTTATTAGTTACATTCAGCAGCTGCCAACAACACCCCCGCCGCCTCAACATAAAAATGACAACCGGTTTTGCCAACACTCACTTTATTGGAAGTGCATTTTTAACAGTAACGTCAACAATGTATCTCCTGACATTTTAAGTCTACAACATACTGCCCGAGCAACATCTTCAATTCTCCCCCACTTACTGGTTTTGAACCGAAGTCCAGCTTTTGTTGTTTGGGTGCTCTCTGCTTTGTACCACCTGGTGGGACTTGCTCTGACTGTGCAGTGCTGCGACTCCAAATGTTTCTTCAAATTTGACGTAGTGTTTTTGTAGCTAGATAGCACTTTGTCGCCACCAGCACAGAGTGTACAACAAACCTTAATAGTGCCATCTTTAGCTGACACAAACTCAAAATAGTGACTGTATTTCCAGCTAGCAAACGCCTATCTCTCTCCTCCCTCCATTGTTGTTTATGTTTGTGTCTGCGTAGCCTACACGTGAACTGTCCTCATGCTGAAAACGTGACTTGTCGCGTAGGCTACGTGACTTCACTCCCAGAGACGCAAGAAGAAAGCAAGTATATTAAGGAAAATATAAGGAAAATTACAAACATAGTAACGCACAGTGACTTGGATAAGTAACTTTAATCTGATTACCGGTTTGGAAATAGTAACGCGTTAGATTACTCGTTACGGAAAAAAGTGAGGGTGTTACTAAGTAACGCGTTACCGGCATCACTGGCCACCCGTCACAGAGTATCCATCCAACCACACTCATCTTGTAACTATTCACAGCTTCTATGTGACGTCATCATTTGTCTCTGCCTCTGTTTCACTCTTTGACATTCATATTAAAGAAAAGTCTGCAGCGGAGCGAGAGGGGGCCCATAGTTCTCTAGGGGCCCACCTTTGGCCCAATCTGCCTGACTAAACATGCTTTTTTGTTGTTTAGCTGAATGAAGTTTGTTCGTGTGTTTTGATTGAAAAATAAAAAGTCAGACTCAGTCTGTCTTTTGCAGAGCAGAGACGAGTCCTCACTACTGCCAAGGGGTTCTCGACTGTACGCAGCAGCCAGCACCAGCGGTTGTAATGTGGGCCTATTTGTACTGTTGCTGATTCCGCCCCTTTAGTACCCCCTTAACAGGGCCCCCGCCAGTCACGTTGCGTTGGATGAGCACAGCACCGGGAGATTTAAACGCTGGTAGTCTATCTGCTCTATCTCTGTTTACCTCGCTGTTCTTCGTAACAATATAAGTATTAAAACAAAGCCAGAGAGCAGAGGTAGAATCTTGTTGACTCATGTTTTCCGCTTTCAAACTTCTTCTCACTCAACAACTCAACCCTCCACGTCCGACAGAGTCCTGCTGTTAGCTGTTAGACAAACAGGTGGAAATGTTAGCAAGGAGCAGCAGCTAGCTCCCTGCAGGTAGCTGAAAGCAATAGTGATGATGAAGATGATGATGGTGAAACACATCGAGTTTGTCGTGTTCAAGCGTGTTGGACTGTTTTAGACCTTTCATACAGACTACAGTGGATTCATGTGATTTTTGCTGGATTGGATTTGAACTGACAGCTGCTGAGTGAAAGCATACGTAGTAAGTTGTTTCATATTCAGTATTTGTGATGACAGGCCTGTCATAGATGCTGGATATCTGGTGTTTTTGACTCTCTGTCCAAAAGTAGAGTTGCTTCTGCACCGCTGTGTCTGTTTGGTTATTGCAGTAATGGCATGACACACATTGCTTGCACCCTTCTGTTGCCGTGTGTGGGTTGATTATGTGGCTGTATTGTGTAGGCTATATAGCTGTGTGGCTGTGTGAGCATCTACCATCACTGAATATCAAAATCTGAACGCTTGCTAGTTCAGTCAACCTTATCTTTTTTATCCTTTATCTGATCATGGCTCTGAAACAGCCTATCAGAAGTTGTAATGCTTCAGTCTCAGCAGGTTTCTGTTTAATGATAAATCCATGGCACTGTCTGTGGTGGTGAATAGGACCCCTTCCATCCCATCCCCCAGCCTATATATTAAGGGCCCACGAAAGGTGCCTGCCCCGTCTGCAATGAGACATCGGCTCCGTGCCTGGTCTCAGTGGGATTTAAAGGTCCAGCCTGCAACATTTAGGAGGACCTGTTGGCAGAAATGTAATATAATATTCATAGGTATGTTTTCATTGGTGTACCTGAAAATAAAATGATTGTTGTGTTGTCGTTACCTACAGAGGCTGCCATGTTTCTCCAGTATCCCAGAACGGACAAACCAAACACTGGGTTTAGGCAGGGCCTTTTGCGTTTTCCTCGAGTTTCACGGCCACCATAGTTTCTCCTACATGCTTGGAACAGGAAGGTGAGGTGACAGTGTTGCAATCAGTAGTTCCACCACTAGATGCCACTAAATCCTACACACTGGACCTTTTGAAAGAAAGAAACTTATCACATCAATGCCCACAATTAGACAGAAATCTAAGCAAATAGCATGATATGACTCGTAATATCCTGACAGTAAATACAGCCAGCAGCTGGTTAACTAGAACAGAAGAGAAAAACTAGCCTAAAGGTAATAAAGCTCACCACAATGGCTAGCTCAGTTCACTTACTCATTCTATCCCATTTGTTTAATCCATACAAAAAACAAAAAAAAATTGGCTTTACACGGGTTGTGCTCCCGGCTCAGGGCCAGTAGCTTCCTGGTTTTTTGACTGGTTACCTGGCAACCCTTAATGACAAGACTTCACCTGACCGAGGCATACTGTACTCCGGAGCATAACCAGACCACGTTTTGCCAGAGAGTGTTGTAAATTTGGTAACAATAAAAGATTACTCACAAGAGTTACTTTGTTTATGTGCTGTGGAAGGTGTCATTCCTGCATGACCTGTTGTCCAGCGGTTTGACAAGTTACTCTTCCAGTCCACTATTGTCTTCAGATTTGGAGGATGAGGAGTGGCACTGCAGCTTCGACCCACACATTTGATTAGGATATTTAGTGCACAAACATCCAGAGATTAGTGGCTAAACCAGCTAAGCCAGCTAAGCCCTTTTCAGACGTCATTATCATCCCAGCATTGCATAAGAGGCTCCTCTGTAAAAGTAGTGGGTTTTAAAATTTGAGAATCAGCGTGGCAGCAATCACACAAATATAATGCAGAATAGATGGTCGCTAATAGCTGTTGCACATAAAGAGCCATACTAACTGCTCACTCTTTGCCTATGTAAAGTAAATGTCAGACAGATAATTATATCAGCAGGCAAGATGGTTTGTGAAAAGAGTGCTTCTACCCTTCCTTGTTACCATCAACCTGACTGGATCACAGTCGTACAGCCTACCAGAAATGTGTCATGCACAGCGCCCACTAACAAGACCTTAACAAGCAACCCACACACCTCTGTCTCTGCAATGACAACCCACACCCACCCTTTAATTTTTTTCTCTTTTAGATGATATTCCATCATAATATACACTCAGGCTGAGGTATAATCTGGGACAGAGTAAGTGGACAAGGTCATGGTTATTAACCAGATGGCAGCAGCTAAAGGCTAGCTGTCATGAAGGCACTATGGGAGACCCTTAACACTCATACCAGGGAGACCTGCATTATTCATCTGGAGCCCCACAACATCAAACCATCTATAGATAAGAGCGTTCATGTTAGTGATAACTGGAACAGTACAGTGGTCAGGCAGACATTTAAACTCACAGGGAAATTGCATTTTGTTTGTCTTGCTTTGTTACATGACATGAATCCTAAATACAGCCGAGAGGTCTCAGGAAAAGAAACATGGTTCGTTTAGTGGATGTTAGCTGTATTTACCATGTGGCAAACTTTGTTCACAAATTGTGAAGTTGCAGATTATGTATGATGGGAGGGTTGGGAGATTAGCAGTACTGAATGCAATTTTTGTAAATGTTTTTTGGAAGTGCCCATAGAGTAAATAGTTGATTTCACAGGAAGTTAAAGCGATGGGACAGTGACATAAAAAGTAAAGGAAAATAACATGTAAATACTGTAGGTACAGTTATTTTCATTGTATTTAATTATGCAAGAGGTCATCTTTTTAAGATTCTCATTTAGGTGAATATTTGTAGAGGTGAAACAGGTTTGTCCTGTAAACTCAAGGTATTTGGTACAGTATACAACAAAGCTTCATGTACTTCACTCATAGCTTGATATACTGTAGCAAACCAGTTAACTGATTACAGCCTTTGTGACCCAGATGATGAAAAATGTTTCAATGATATAGAAGTAACATGACAATCTGTTCATAGATGCAGTAGATAAAATGATGAAGCATGTGATGAAATTGGCTAGCACATGAATTTATTATCCATGAAGTACAAGGCATTATCAGATTGAGCTCATGACAACTCTTGACATTAAAGTGCTGGTGGTTAGAACTTGCCTCAGTTAAAAGAAAGCAAGACAGACATTGTTCATTTTGGCCTCTTTCATTTTAACTAAAATATGATATATGGGTTATATATGTCCCCCAGTGTGAAACTATATGCTCATAATTTTGCATTTAATGTATGTATTTTATCCACAACTGACCTTTTTACAAAATGCCCTTCATGACATTTTATTTGGTCCTACAGCATCTTAAAAATATTTTCCTCTTCTTTTATTATTTTACAAACTCTTTTTACTGGGCCTTTTACTTTTATGTCTTAATACAACAATCACAAACATGATAAGTGGAATATCGTTTAACTTACATTCAACACACCAAGATGTCTACCACAATTTGAAAGCAAATAACATTTTTGTATTGTTGGAATATGTTTTGATGAAAATAGGAAAATGGCATTTCAGTATTTTAAGCTCACTTCCTCTGGTTGTTTCTAAAATGCAATTGCTCTGAGGATTGTGCTTACTGCACTTTTGAATGCTCCATTAAAACAGCATACTTTGTGTAGCCTGAAGGATATAGTCTGTGCATGTAATAATAAATGAAAGACATTTTATTGCAGTTACAGCATTTTAATGTGACATTCACTCACTGCCAGGGCTGGCCTCTCACCAACAAGCCGGGCAAATAGAACAGCAGACGCCTAACCTCACTACAGGCACAGTAGACAGAAGTGCTGGCTGGAAGCAATTTATGCAAATAAAATGAGAAATGAGGATGAGGGGAACTAACTGTTCTTAATTGGAATAAGGTGGGGGGAAACTATTAAAACAGGATAATTAAGTTCCTTGTGACTGCTACTAGCTTCACTTAAGGAGTCAGAAAAACTCCCAGATGCAAAAAGCATCTACTACTCCATATCTAACTTACAATCACTTCCTGTTTACGTGCAATACAGAGCTACATGCTGTACCCATCCATCAGTGTCTAAAGGGTCAGTTTGAATCCCACTTTAATGCTCACCAACATCTTGCCACCTTATGAGCAACACATTTGAGTACATAGTCCAGAGTATAGTCTAAAATTAAATTGATTGCTCACTGCAAGGGGAACCATAGAAAATGTGTGATATGTATCCAAGGTTTTTTTTTTTTTTTTCCTTAAAGTTTCATTTCAGAGCTGTGCCTACAGGCATTCATAATCTGCTTACACATGCAGCCTTTCTTTCCTGTTCAGAAATCTACTTGGATGCCTTTTTAGGGATTGTACGTCTAATACACTAATTGAATTGACACGGTAGAAAATAAATTACAACATTCTCACAATATAATTGTTTTCCAACTCATTTTAGATTTGACTTTTCATATTTTATTGTTTCACAGATTTTAAAATTTTGAACTGGCAAAGATCAACAATGGTTGTTTCTTTTATGTAATAATATTTATTGATAACATTTAACATATTTTGCTTACAGATATTTTGTCTAGAAATTAACCGTCACTGCACATCAACCGACAGAACAACACGCCGTATTCCCAAAAATAGAAACAAAAACAAACAGACAAGGAGAAGATATGCCATTAAACCATGACCTCATGCACCAATTCACCACCAAATTAAAAAACATTATGGCAGTTCAACTGGTTGTAAGTACATTGTGCAAATACAGACTCACCTCAATAAAACAAGTAACAAGACTATGTAAAAAACAGTAACTACTGTATAAACCCAGGAATAGCACAGACTTAAAATGTCTGCATATGCCTGTTGTTTTTCTTATGGGACATTATAGAAAAGAAAACATCCATCTTTGTGGTCATTCAACATGCAACTGATCCAGCTGAGCAGAGCTCAAGACAGTTTGTGTCTCTTTTCTATCAGTAGTTTATCGACATCTGCATTCTTCTTTTAGGACCATATTTGTCTCAGCAGCACTACTGTCTGAAAGGTATAGCCGAGGCTTCAGGTTGATTGGGGCCCTTTTATGTGGATTGTTGCTCAAGGCTACGGAGAAGGAGGTGTCTTCAGAGAATTACAGGATCCTCCCTGGCTACTACCTGCGGTCCCCTGGTACTGCAAAGCAGAGTCATGCAGAAACGACAGTTAGAGCTGTGCGGTGCAAGACAAATGTCTCTCACGCAGTCACATAAACAGATGTACAGTCATATCAAATAAAACCAGAGCCAAATGTTTCAGTATCCCAGCTTTTCATCTTAGAATCTCCAAACAATTGTACTAACCACCTACAGAGTTATGAATTGGGCAGTAAAACAAACAGTGAATGATTCCCGTTTCATTTGTGATTTTGTGAGGTTGGTTTATTTATGTATTCACTCAGTTTTATTGGAATAGACTGTGCTACTGTGACTGATTTATTTGCCAACTGCGAGCAAAAAAAAGAAAAAGCTTTTATAGACAAAGTGGCTTACTTGGCAAACAAATAGACCTGCACTTGAAACCTATCGGCATGTTAGGACTACATTATTTTGCAGTTTTGGGAGTAGCGTGAGGATGAAGGGGCTTGTGAAGACAGAACAAGTTTGACTGAAATGAATTGGGAGAAAGTAAATAAGGTTTTCTTGAGGCTCCAGTGAAGATTTCACAGTACCACATACTCTACTAGCCCTGGAGGAAACATAACAAGCTCAATTTCCTCTCACTGTTTCTTTGTATTTTGCACGCGCAGACCTTTGATGTGCACACAAATACACACTATAAAACCATTTCCCAGGCTGAGTGCACAGGTCAGAGATACCATCCTTCAACTTCTCAGCGTGACTTCCTCTTTTCTTCTGTCAGAATATCGGTTCTGTCTTCGCTCTTGGACTCTTCTGCAGTGTGTTTTTTTTTTTTGTGCAACTGTTTTTCCAAGGGTAGGTGTTAAGGTAATTGCATTTATTTTATTTATCACATATTAAAAACACAAGTTAAGGAGCTGAGTGGCTTTTATCTGGAACCAATATGTACCCCCACATGCCTGGGGCTAAATCATGTCAGAGCTTTGTCTACTTTGTCTCCCTCGATAGTTTCCCACTGCACTCTAATCTAAAAAAATAAGAAAGAAGATAAAGACTAAGAATGAGTGAACTGGCACTCTCTTAAAGACAAGAGGTCCGTCCTGTATAGGGAACTGTTAGACTAGTAAATTACCAAGATAACTGGTGCTTTTTTGATACAAAAAAGCCCAATTTCAGGTACTGTGCATCATATGGTGACAGAAAATATGATCTGCTTGAGAGCAGGTTATGTTTCTCCCATCAGATCCACATGAAACAGCATCACCTTCCGTGGACCACTTTCTTTTCACTGAAGATTATTAAATCAGATACATAATGTTTCTGGGCTACTTGCTACTATCAAAAGGCAGATTTTCCTCTTTTTACTTCGATGTTCAGTAGCCTATAGCCATATTCCCATTGCCGCTGACCAAAAATCTTTTCACAGCCTCACTGTAACAACACACTACTGTATCAGTGAATACTAATGAGCCCACTGGGCCTTAATGGTTGGGCAGTGATAAGCTTAGTTGCATATTCATTTACACTTTTTTCATCCAGCAGTCCTCTAGCCTTGGCAAAACAGTGTTCTTTTGTGTTGCTCATACTTATTTTTTAATAATAGTAAGGTTTTCATAAATGTCACTTATCTATTTATTGGCCTTTAGTAATCTTCTTTTTCGTTTTAGGGTCAATTTTTAAAATAAAAAAAGATGTTTGTTTCCTCTATACTTAATATTACTGCTGCTATTATAAAGTTTCACCTCATAGTTAAATAAAGCTTTATCCTATTTAATATTTTTTTCTTGGAAATCTTCATTTTGCTTTCATCTGTAACAAAATCTGCCTCCATTAGCAAAACATTATAACAAAACCATCAGAATTTTACATTCTGTTGACTGATTTATGTGATGATTTGAATGTATTGATACTGTTACTGTAATAGCAGACCATAACAGCTACTAAATTGCTTTCATCATTAGACTTTGCTCTAATTTATGGCTGTTAACAGCATGTTCCTGCCTTAGGCGCAAGAGCTCCAGTTCTGACAGCATTAGTAGCAAATTATGTTTAACAAGAACAAAAATATATTCATGCTTCAAACCGGGTCATGCATGGAAACACATATCGTACCCATCACAGTAAAGTCACCTCACCTCAACGAGAGGATGCCAGTGGGCGACAGGTTTTCGTGGATATGTGAGCATTTCACTCCAGTGGCTTTGACCGAGGCTGTCTGCATCGTTGCCAACTCGACACACGCCAATGACCTCATTATGGCCTACACTGCAGGTGCGGGAGGGACAGAGAGAAAAAATGTGATCACGACTTACCCTGCATCTCAGAAATAATGATGCACTTCATCTTCAGAGTGAAAAGAAGAAAAACGAAACAATTTGAAACTGTTATTAACTATATATGTGACACAAACAGAGTCAGAGTTTACAAAATCATTCCAAGGCGCTTTGAAAACATTTCATCTTTTTTGTCCAGCAGCAAGTATAAATTTAAAATGATTCATGCAAAAAGAGGTGCTTATATAAAGCCTTGTGAAAGGTCCTAACCGGTCATAGTCCATCACTGCAATCAAAAGGCTGATCTGCTCTATATTTTCTGGAGGGACATCAAAGACAATGGCCTCATTATAGACTGGATTCAAAGTGTTCCTCTTCGTCGACGTCTTCCTCTTCTTCAGTCTGCGACCTTCACACATTAGTGAAACCTTCACATATGGATCTATGAAAGTAAGACAAACAGAAAGTGAAGGCATTCATTTTCATTCATGATACCAGTGAGACTCTGTAGTTACAGACAGTATCAGTTTTGAATTACCAGATGCACCGGTGATATCCATAGCCTTGAGATTGCGAGCCTTTATCATGGTAATGGTTAATCTGCCCGCAGTAGGCAAGTAACAGAGGGAAAACATCAGGTCACCAAGGTCCACATTATCCTGAAAGACAATATATACAAAACACAATTACTCAACCATAAGCTCTAGGTGTGTCACTGCTGCCTTTCATTACTGTGCACCAGCCGAAGGTGAGGAATAATGGTACGGCCATCTGACATTTAAACATGTCACAGTTAAAACATGTTTCTGTTATACTCTCCTCTGTCACATTTCTCTAATAAAAGCCTCCCACATTTCACCCGACACGGAGACTTCTGTTCAGCTGCAGGAAGGCAGAAGCTCACATATCACTTGCTCTTAAAATAACTCCAGTAAAGAAGTGAGAAACAGGAAAGCACACAAACGTGTCTGGTGAAGACAACAACTCCTACAGCAGAATCTCTTGCTGATCTATTGGTATGTCGGGAAGATTGTGTTGGTTATTTTGTATCAGGTGTCATCTGCTATTACCTTCCAGTGTAATCATTTGTAAAGGGAATCTCACTCAGTTTAATCGGGGTGTCAACATAAAACCTGAGAACTAAAAAAATCTATAGTGTCACATTGATTTTGTCGAGACACTCCATTTAACTCTGATTGAGATAATGAGATATTAGGCTTGTTTGAGATGAACTGCGCCTCGCCTGGAATGTGGACAAGATCAGGCGGTAGCAGCAGGAGGTGGTGACAAAAAGCTGCTGTCAAGTCAGACAGTTTCCAGCATCCTTCAAATAATATAAGCTGTACAGTATAGCCAGGTTTCTTTTCTTTCTTTCTTTCTTTCTTTATTTATTTCTTTCTTTCTTACTTTCTTTTTTTTTGCAAATCAGTATTTTCTACAATTGGTCAGCTTTGCTAAAAACAAATGTTTTTTTGTGATTGGCACTTGTTTTTATCTGTAATCTGTGTGCCTGTGTGGCCGGTATGAGTGTCAGAAGGGAAAAGTGAGGGAGAGATTGAGGTGGAAAAAGAAAAAGAGTTTAAGACTTTCCCTCCTGAGACCTACATCACCTTGTATCTTGACTTGAGTATTTTGTTACAATCAGGATCAAGTCTTCAACAGGACTACTAAAGCATTTAAATTTGCATGATGGATTAACTGACAACCACTCTAGAAAAATTCATTCCACATGCCAGAAGGATAATGTAGGCTTTACATGCTTCATGGTTTTTGTGCACACTCGAGATACAGGTGGGAAGACAGACCTTAGTGCCGTGTTACATGTGCTCCAGAATCCCTTTTAAGCAAAAAATGCCATTTAATGCCTGCTGGTCGAATGCCACACTGCAAATCTCTGACAAGCTATGTCCCAAATTTCACAATTTGAACATACTGTACTTGTTTATGGCATACTGTACTTGTTTATGTCCTTGCACTTTAAAAGCCAAACTCAATCAAAATGATAAATAACCAAAACCAAAACAAGCCATAATGGTAATACATTATATAGCTTTTGTTTGCGTTGACATTGTCATTTTCACAATCATGAAAAGAAAAAACACGTTCTTCCGTCAATCTGTTTCTATTGCTGAGCTAAATGAGCCAAATCTGGCAATGAAACAAACCATATGGTCAATCCCACTGGCAATCATGACTTAATGATAATCCGATTGTACCTGTCAATTAAGTCACTGAATCTGTACAGTGATTATGAAAAATGGGCCCTACTGGATTGCATACAAAATGTCCTATCTCTGTACTTTTGTCCAAAAATGATTAGCTTGTTTATTAGGGTGAATGTTTGGGGCATGTGTGCAAATGTTTGAGAAGTGTAAGAGTCTGTGTGTACTGTGTGTGTGTGTGTGTGTGTGTGTGTGTGTGTGTGTGTGTGTGTGTGTGTGTGTGTGTGTGTGTGTGTGTGTGTGTGTGTGATGAGCAGAGTCATGCAAAACTGAAAAAAAAAAACTGAACAGTGTGAAAATGGAGCACTCCAAGTACTGTGAATCTCTGGTCCCCATCAGCACCTGTCACATCCAATTCTCTTCTGACTGAGTAACATTGATTGACAATCAATAATAAAGGCGTCAGCACTGCCCCACAAAACAACCTATTGTGTAAACTCTCACAAAGTTGAGAGCTTATACAAAAATATCAGTTCTCCTGTCAATATTAATATTCCCCTCAAGTCTCTATCTGACAGAACAAATATCTCCATTAGACTTCCTTGGCATCTCCTCTTCGCTCACTAGCTGTCCATACTGTAAATGTAAACCCCGAATCATCTATCTCTTGGTAAATATATGATGACCTACTGAGAACTGATAGCTAGACTTCATTTTTAATAACGTATATATTTGGTAAAAGTTCACATTTCAAGTTCAAAAAGACACCTTTGTAAACTGTTATCACTTTTGATAAATTGTGTGCCATTGTCAGCATTAGACACAATGCTGGCTTGCAAAGATATAAGGATAAGCCTTTGAGATAAGTGCAAATTTCAGTGCACATCCCTGTGATCTGCTTCACGCTGGCTTTCAACAACATCTACTGGCGTGGCTGCCCTAACTCCAGAGAAGCACACTGAAATATGCATGTATTCACCCAGCTAATTTGTACAGGTCTGGCTATTCCCTATGGTATGGACTGCACAGTGCAGGATTATGACTTACATGGGCATCCCTGGGGGGGGGTTATTACTTGATTTTGCTTTACTGTATGAGAGATCAAATAGATTGCATTTGAGCATGGCTCTCTACTTTTCCAAACACAGTGCTGGGGGTGCTGGTATGGCCAAGCAGTCACCCACTTCAGCGCGACCCTTTATGTGTAATCTGTCAAGTTGGTGTACTTTGCCCGCATTAATTTATAGGGCTCATTAGTGGCTGAAGCCTGCGAGAAACAGAATGACACATTGTGACCCTAAAGCACAGGGAGAGCACCCTGTTGCTCCTCAAGTTGCTGATGCCCTATCATATACAGAACTACACACTATACACAACACTACATACTAACACTTTACAGTGTAGTTCATACTTTTTATCCATAATATTTAAAAAATATTTTTCATGAGCATATTTCTTTTTTAATTTGAAGTTTTCCTTTCCTTTTGTGAGTTTTTTGGGCCACAGTGTCAATCCACTCCTCATTCAAAATTCAAATGAATATACTTCACATATTGACATCTGCTATTTATATACTACAACTTATTTTTGTCAGTTTTATGTACTCAAAACCCAGTTAGAATTTGTATGGATCATGAAAGTGGGACACAGCTGCTGACTGTGGATGCCAAGTGGGGTTGTGATGGCTATAGATATGGCTTGTACTGTGTGAAGGGCTGAACAACTACATGTAGCTGTTTCAGTGCAGTAAGTGTGGTCAAGCAATGGGTTTTGGTGGGATCTGTGCAACCTACCTTTGCTGTCAGCACTCACAGGTTGCACAAATATAGCAGCTGAGTGAAGCAGGAGAATACAGTGTGTGCGTGTGTGTGTGTGTGTGTGTGAGAGAGAGGGAGAGAAAGAGAGATTGAGGCAGACAGAGAAAGAAAGAGGCAGAGATAAAATATTTTTAGAGGCCAGGAGTAGGAAGCTGTTAATGGTCTTTGCCAGCCAATGGTCCATACAGAATAGACAGCACCATGCCACAAATATGAGCTCATTACTGAAGTCACACGTTTAAAAAACGACAAAAAAACCCCATCAGATGTCCAAATTTCATTAAAACAGAAGAAAAAATCTATATTCTTACAAATCCAGCAGCCTTAATCGGGTAAAATAAAGACTGCATGTCAACCTCACAGTATAGTGAACATAGCATACAACATCAGTGATCATTGTGTATGAATGATCATGACCAAAATGGCATTATTTCAGCTGATGTATCCCACCGTACGCGTTTACACCAGTTCCTCACTATTGTAATATACTTTTGCAACCAGAGAAACCCAGTTGTAACAATATATTTGCATGATCATGGAAATTACAAATGAAATTTGTAAACTGTTAATGAATGATCTTAAAAAACAAAAAAGCATACACTGACATGTAGCTATCTGGAATTTCCAAGCAGTGCATGAGGTAAGCTGTGTCTATTTGGCTGCCATTTTCTATATAACTAGCTGCCTGAAAGACCACTCCTGTATTGATTTGCTTCTTCTCAGGCATCTTCCATTATCTGTGACTGCCTTGCAGATGCCTACTTTTGCTCAGTTTCCTTAGAGATTGGTATCGTTTTAGGCACAAAAGCTACTTGGTTAGGATTATGAAAAGGTTGAAACTTATGTACCTGACATAACATAATTACATGAATAAAACATAACTTGGGTAATGTAGCTGACATAACTCACGTATGTTACTTCAAAGAAATTGTTCACTTTTGGTTTCACACAGTACACCAACAGCAGTCTCCTGGGTTACAGTCCTGTGCCATCCATCCAGCCCCTACATATGTGGATTTCCTTGTCTTCATATTAAGCCACCTGACTTTGATGGTGGGCTCATCCAGAAACAACGCTAAAGGGATAACTACAGGGTTGGAATACACTAGGTAAGCTAGCTAATCATTTAACCTGAACTGTACTGTGCAGTTTCTACATAAGTTGCTGTTGGCTCATTTCAGACAAAGGTATGCTTGTGATTTGCACGAGACAGCAACAGAACTAAATATGGAACAGAATTGCAAATTTTTGATGAAAAAGGTTGCATAGGGGAAATTGAGTTTTACTATATGTAATAGTGATTGTAAAACCCAAATTTCAGTTTCGAACTACATAATCACATTAAAATACAAAGAATAATATCCATCTACAGTTTTCAGTATAATCCCAACATGACTGACGGCCACATTCACATTCTGGTTGCAGCTGATGTTTTGTAGTATATAACTCAATAATTAATCTGCTCTAACCTTTTCAGCATGCATTGATTTGATTTAGTAGATAAATAATATGGGAACAAGATATGCAAGAACAATATATGCTTAGATAGGCAAATCTAGATGAATAATTATTGTGGCTGTTACACAAATTCACCACCATCCAAACATGTTTAACAGATGTCTTTCATATGTATTTCTGCTCTTGTACAGCAAGACTTCCATCTGGCCCCTATAATAAGATTCATAAATAGAAATGATACACAATGGAGCAGTTACTATGAATGTAAGCCTGAAATACTATGAAAATGAATCTGAAAATTAAATGATGCAGCTCTCTCTTCTCTCTCACTCAAAGTAGAAAAACACGTTAACAAGTTTCAAGGCAGAATTGGCGAAATTACATATATCATATTACTACGGTGGCTATATTTAACCTGGATTGACAGGTAGATCACACAAAATCTGGTTACTAAGGGACAAAGCTCATTAAACAGAAATGGCTGCAGTGCAGACAACCATTTGCATATGCAGCTGCAGGGGACAAACCTGGACAACAGCAGAGGTAGAGGATGCTTTGCTTATTAGATACACAAGAGACAGACACACGCTACTCATATAATCCCATGCTCCTTTATATACATATGTTATAGAAGTGACTTAAGTGTTTGCTAAAATGTGCCAGTAGTTGCCATTACAGATCAGCAATTTTCAGTGTTGTCTTAAAGAAAAAACTACAATATATTACAGCTTGGGTTTTCTTTTCGGGGGTTCTGGTTCTAACATGTTAATTAAACTTATACGGAAAATAAAACAAAGGTGAACTAGAATCCAAACTGTCCATTGTACACATCCATTACAGTTTACAGACTAACTGTATTTGTTGCCCCACTGGACCTATTTCAGCAGTGTTGCCATGTTTCGACTAAGATCTCAGCAGTTACTCTAGCAAATTAAATTTTATCATAACACAAATAACCAGGGATTGGACCTAGAAAATCGAACACTTGTTGTCAGAAAAAAAACCCATAGTTTTCCTGTTAGCAGTTTATTGATTTTGCTTCCATGACCTCTCTGGGATGAAATGAATTGTCTGCAGCAATCACTGGCAAGGAGTCTCATTAATGCCACCTAAGCATGTGATGACAAATGGGATCAATTTTACATTAAAGCTGTTTAAGCTCACACACTGAGATGCCTGTCAATGAAGCAATCACTGGAAGCATATACCCATAAATATGTACCAGTATTGTGTATTACACAATAGATGTGTCAGATATCAGCTGTACAAGGCAACATTAACAGGGAACAGTCAAAAATAGTATAAAGAGCTCTTGAATGAATTATTTGGATAAAGACTACAAGTAAGACAACCAGTAAAGCATAATAATGGTGACACTGGTGACATCATACTAAGGTACAGGTACACACACACACACACACACACACACACACACAGAGAGAGAGAGAGAGAGAGAGAGAGAGAGAGAGAGAGACATGCACACAGTCAATAATAAGGCAACATGGGTTATCCTGTTGACCTTAGGCAGTTTCACCCTGGAATTAATTTACATATGTTTTAAAAAGTGGGTAGTCCCAGGCAGCAGAGGGTACTGCATTTAGATAAGCTGTGGCAAATGCAGTAAATGTGTTTCCTAATGAAAATGTGTCTCTGCCCTTCACCTGTATAAACTGTATGTATTGTGTTCAGTAATAATGGTTCTTACAAAAGGATGGAATTTTGTTAAACAGCTATCTCAAATAAAAGGAATATCTGCATTTGCAGGGTTTCATTGTTTTAAATAACTGCATCTCTCCAATGTTTAGCTACAGAGCACATTTAAAGAATTTATTCATTGCTCTACAAAGAATTACAAGGCAATAAAGGAAATGTCTGAAAGTCATTATGTGTCAGTACAGATGCCTGAGATGTATTGTTGGTAGAGACAGAAATCCTCTCAAAGTGAGTGACCTACCTACAAAGTAATTCTTCTCTCGTTTATTCAGAGCTGACATCGTGTTTAAAAAAGCAGTCAACTTTATTTGATACTCATGTTATTGAGGGACAGACGGTGCTGAAATTAATGAAATGTGAACCAAATATGTAGTTCTCAATAAAGTTGTCAGACTTAATATAACACATTTTGCCTTTTGTGTTATTAATACAAAGTTAAATATAACATGGTGTGTCTGAATGAAGATGATATCATTTTTAACTTAATTGCAGACTCACCGTGGAGACATATTGGATTTCCCTGCAGAGTTTTGTCTCCCTGGGGAAATCTGCCAGATCCAGGAAGTTGTCCACAACCACTTGGCCGATAATATCATGGCGTGAAAATCGGTCAAAGTCATAGACGCTGAAGTGTAGCTTACGTGTGGGAAGCTCAGAGTACGCCACAGGAAACAGGAAGACCTCATCAAACACAGGGTTCAACGTCTTGCGGTGCACCTTGGTCTGGTGTTTGGTCATACGATCAGGGAGTAGGTAGATCTTAACATAAGGGTCAGAGGTACCAGAGAAGTCCTTGGCTGGGAGATCCTCTGCTTTGTGGATCTTAACTATCAACTGTTCCTGGTCGCAGTCAAATTTGAGGATGAAATGGAGGCGCCCACAGCCCCCACCCCTGCGATTACCTTCATCTCCCTCAAGGGATCGCTGTTTGTAGAGCTCAGGTTTGAGGCGCCCGAGGCCCAGCCCCATTCCTGTGAGGGAGTCCTGCCTTTGGAATTGGGCCACATTGAAGTCTGGGTTAGACAGGTTCATATGTCTGCGAATGGACCCTTGTCTGTAGGCAGAATAAACAAACATCATCATACAAGATCAACAGTTGGAATCAGAAAAGGCTTGTAGGCATTTTATATCCAAATTGGACAAGACTGTGAAATTACACCCAGTGCCAATGTAGAAAGTAGTGTGCCCTATATGTAGCCAGGTGGAAAGTAAGGTTTGGAGTTTGGAACTGGTGTGTAGTGACCAGTTCTCATGAAGGAGACCAGAGTTCCTGTCCTGTCACACACCTGTAATTGATCTTTGCTTTGTGACTTAAAAAGAGTGTTTTGGTTGCCTTACCCTAAACATACCTTAAGCATAATTTCATTGACATAACCACAATCTTTGCTTAACTTTAAAAGTGTTGTTGCCATGCAAAGATATTGTTGAAAGCAAGAATTGGCATTGGGCGTAGAAAATGCAGAGCCAGGTTCTTTCGTCTAATATTGATGTTTTTGTCTGGCAATTGCATTCAGAGGCATGCAGAAGGGCACTGATCAGTTCAAATACCAATTAATGTTAAGAGTTGGATGGCAGCAGAAGTGTTACAGGTTTCTCAAGGACAAATCTAGTAGTTCTGACAAAGGCAAAGAAACCAACAAAAATCTTATACTGACCCAATTTCAGACATTGAGTGGCCAGAGGGTGGGGGTTCAGTGGTCTGTCTCTGCATACGAGGGTTAGTGTGAACCCCATTTTCCCGGGTTTTACTCTGGGCATCCAGTGGGATGTCTGGAGATGTATGACTGATCTTCATAGCTGCCTCTGGTGTGGCCAAGACCACAGGCGGTGGTGATACAGGAGTCACCGGAGCCTCCACTGATACCACAGACGCCACAGGAGTGGGCTCTCTGGCGATAGAGCAGTGTGACGACTCACGGCGGTTGTGCGCCGGGGGGTCGACGGCTGTGTAAACTGGCTGCCTGGGTGCAGGCTGCGGGTGCAAAGGGCTCATGGTGGGGTTGAGGTGCCCATGGGCCTCCTTGGTGGTTGGGGAAAGCCCACGCTCTCTCCATGGTATCCAGCAGAGCTTCCAAGAGACAAAGAGGGAAACCCCAAAGAGGGCCAAGCCACAGGCAGTCACGACCAGTGACAACAGACTCACCGATATGTCTGAGAGGGTGACAAGAGAGACAGGAAATAAAGATCTGACAGTGAGTTCAGTTTGCTTTCTGCTAAGCTATAACATTACCCCTTTACCATCAAGTGCTTGCTCATGGTGGTACTGTTGGGTCTCTGTAAATAATGTTATAAGGAGTTCGGTCTAGACCTGCTCTATTTGAAAAGCTGTTATGAATTGGCGTATACAAATAACAGTGAATTGAACATTGAATCTTTTTGTGCAGCACTTTGGAAACCTTGTGTCTGTTAAAATCGTGCTATATAAATAAAGTGGATTGGATTGGATTGGATTGGATCACCATCATTATCATCTTTTATATTTTAAGTAGTGTGAAAACTCTTATTTATCATGGTCATGTTAGAGTAACACTCATGGGTATGTGATATATTATGCTGTTTTTTCATTCACCTGTGGTGTCACATTGGAAGAATGTTTTAGGACAAATCATGCTTCTTTGTACTAGCTACTTAGCTCTACTCTGGGTTTTGCTCATCTTTGTTTCTTTATTGTTACATATAATCCTGACAAGATTAATTAAGATTAACTACATTTATTTAATTATTGTCTGGAGCCTGATATCTGCCTCCCAAGCGGAGTGTGCCCCATGCTGTAATTTTCAGTCCTTTGCTGATAACAGAGGAATCGTTTGTTGAAACAAAGGCAGCAGGAAATGCCTATTCGTACATTCTCATTGAAATACTGGAAAACTGTTTAGGGGTTAAACTCTTGTTTTTATTCACGACAATTTAAAATGTTTCCAGTTTTGGAAAGGGGGGGTTGAAGTGTTATAGTAAATTGAGGTTACAACCTCTTTATATTGAGTCTATGGTTGCAACTGTGTATTATTGGGTAAATAAATCAACACCAAGTGAAAACCCAACCAGACCCACAAAGTCCTGGGTAGTAGCAGTGTAACCAAACACATTCCAGCAACTCTGATGCACGGCATACATTTATGTCTGCCTACTTGAGCACAAGAGCAGTAGCAGTGGCTGTGGGAGTATAAAAGTTTTACAGGAGTATTACACCAGGCTTGAATCTGTAAGAATTTATGGTTTCAGAGCATGACATTGAATATTCCTGCAGTGCATTTGTTTACGCCAGAACAGGGTGTGCGAGTCACCATGGAAAGGGAGGTGAGGTGTGAACCAACAGAGTCAACAAGGGCTTTCTGAATCATCTCTGTTGAGAAGTGGGTGACTTTTTTTGAAAGATAAATCATAGAAACTGCTGTAACATGACAGTACTGAGGTCCTATCTATGACTCTATGCATTAATTTCTTACCCGTCAAAGGAATGATATTTATCATGATAGATAGTTATTATCATTTAACCCGTTTTGTTAAAATTCCTTAAAACTTCATACTAAGCAAACACATTTACCATTAAGTAGTTGCTTATTACCCTGCACATTAGTCATTATATAGTACTTATTAATGCCTTATTCTGCATGACCATATTCTAACTAAGACTTTTCCCTCAATGACCTCCTAATTACTGCTTAATTATAATAAATAAGGAAGTTGTAAGGTAGTAGATGAATTGTGATCTTGAAATGCTTTGCTTACTGTGGGTCTTATAAGGTGGTAGTACCACAGGAATACTCATTCTCCGTTAATAACACTTAATGAATTTGGTGTAGTCTTATGTAACAAAACTGCAAGGATTAATAGTGTCCAAATAACCCTAAATTAACTATCTCTTCTAATCTTTTTTTAAATGTTTTGAATTGTCACAGTTTAAGTATAATATCTAGTTTAGATATGAGCAAAACCACACTTTAGAATGGGGAACATATTCAGAGTTCGAAAGTCTTGACTAGTAGCTGTAGAATATGGTTATGCAGAATAAGGCATTAATAAGTGCTTTATAATAAACTAAGAAAGAGCCAATATGTTTCCTCATTGTTTGGGGTTCCACAGACCCCACTGACGTATGTGTAAAAGTAACAGCAAGAATAATAAACAAAAAACTCCTGACTTAAAGTATTGAAGTGATAACCCTTCCCTTTGCCACAAACTTGGCTTGCACATTTGATGGAGGCGATGTTACTTGTGTTGGAGGTCAGTCAGACCCCAGAAAGGTACAACTCCCTAACACACCTCCTATGAATATTCTGATATAAAACTCCAATAACAAAATGAGCTACTCATCAGGTCAACATACATTACCCAAAGGTGGAGTTTTCTGAGATTAGTTTTTAAAACTATCTCACTACGTGTATTTATCAAAGGCATACATATGCATATTATATGCTGTGTCTGCTCCTCACTCTCTGTGCTCTTATGCATCCTTGAGTTTTTATGAGGCAAAAAAAGATTAAGTGGTGATTATTAAAATCACTCCGCAACAAGATAACAGCAGAACAGATTGCAGTTCACAACATGACTAACTGTTATGTATGTCCAGCAAAGTCTGCACATGAGTGATATGTTGTCCACTGCATCTTAATTAAATCTAGTCTTGAGCAGCACCTTTCACATACATCTGCTGGAGGGTAAAATGCAACAGACAGTTGCTTTGCAATTAACAGATAATGATAGTGTGGTGAAATAACAGCGATCATTATAAATATTGTTTTGACCCATAAAGGGCTTTAATACCAGCCCAGCCCATTTGGCCACCTAGAGCAGAGGGACATGTATTGCCATGCACTGCAATGTCCATGCATGACATAAGTATCCTCTTAATTTATTTATTTCACCTCGTTTTGCCCTCTAATTTTTCAAGTCTACCTTAACACAATGCTCACATGTCCGCTGAAAGAGGATGTGAAGTGATTCCTTCCACCTTACTAGTGTCCACACAGTGCAAAACTGCATTTTCAAGTTCAGTCAAAGGTAACATTAGGATTCAGCAGTCTGAGTTCGACAAATTAAACGAGTATCTTCCAAAGTAATGGTCCTCTGAGGATAAAATTCCCTCAGGCTTCCTTTGACAGAGTTTCCTTGCTTAGCATTAGCTGAGGGATACTAACACAAAGAAGGAATTTTGTTTCTAGCAGCCATTAGATGTGGCTAACTCTGCATCATATTTGTCTGAAATATGTAATGCAGTTTTGTACATCTTATCAATCCCCTTCATTTTTTACAGTGAATTTATTTATGATTCTGAATTGATAACCTCATATACAACTACAGCTACTACTACTCCTGCAGCTTGTGGTAGATGTTCATTTGATCATTTATGACGAGTATTAGGGGTGTGCATTGCTAAGTAATGCATTGTTAATTGTTAAATGTTACTGACCATTAGTGAAAGTGTTACTTGTGTTACAAATATGTTTTTTTCTATATTTTCATGTGATGCTAAATAATGCTGATACATTAAAAAATTACATAATGAGCTTTGTTTTACTATGATGATAATCTTGTGCAGGAATGAACTGTTGCCCAGCAACAAATGTTGGGGCAGGATGATGGTTTGAAGCTGGGAAGACAGAAATTAAAAGTGGAGGTTTTTAATTTGTATAAAGATTTGCCCAGTGATGGTTTATCCATTAATCACCTACTGAACCTACTGTTTTATTATGGTACATGTTAGTTATTGATTCATTTGGAGAAGCTTTCCAATCTAGTAAGACTACACTAATGCCTGCATAAATGCTGTAATGTTTACTTTCACTTACTGAAATATTTTCAATCTTTGATATAAATCTTTTTTTACACAGCCTCAGTCCACTGTATCATCTATAATATGTCTATTATTGGATAAGCTTCGCTGTGTATGCGCGCAATGATTCAGACTTTTGCCCAGTTTGTACAACAAGCTATTAGTTGCCTAAAAAAGCAATGTGATTTTGTGCCCATCCATGTATGTGCAGTCAATGTTCATGAAGATTTGTTGGAAAATAATAACTCAGAAGTAATCTGTGTAATTACTTTAATCATAGTAATGACTAAAATTATCCCATTTCAGTAAAGAGACACTAATTATTGCTTTTCCTGAGTAACTGCCCTCACATTGTTTAGCACAGTGTGTCACTTTATTAACTATTAAATCCAGGATTTCAAAAGAAATGCATGCTGATATAGTTTCAAAAAAGATAATAGTCATAATAAACATAATGAGCTTATATCAAGTAGATGATGATTATCTCATGAAAAGAGAATGTGCATAGATAATAATAATAAAGTATTTTTTATATGAACTTAGAAGCTCTCTCATGTGTCTTTTCAGTGATTATCTGACATTATAAGGAGCTAATTATTACTGGCACTATAACACAACACATATATGTGTGTTAATTTCTAGCACAGCGACATGATGCATGTAATTAAAAGTATCTGAGAACAGCTTGATGGCTAACCTCACTGTCTCACAGTTAAACCAAATGCACGATTTTTATTTGGCAGTGCCCAGGATAACTTTTATTTAGAATTTTTAAACTGCACACTATCACCTCTTGTGTTGCAGCTGACAGAAGTATAGTTAATTAATATGGAAATAATATTACTGTTATGTTTTTTTAAGCTGAATGTCCTCATTTTACCAAGGATGATTTTACTATGCTGTAAGACTTCAGTTTTTAAATCTTGTTAGGCCATCCACATGCTGGTTCAAAATAAATGAGACAATATACCATGCTACATTTAAAGATTGTTTGGTTTCAGTCACAACTAATTTTTAAAAGACTTTGACAATAATAGTTTGGATTTTGCATAACCTATCCTCCAAACAAATAGCACTGTCTATTACAGAACTGGCTCTGTGTGTGGGCGCTGAAAACCTTGCACAGGAACTCAGACAAACTGTCCTTTCTGTGCTCTGAGATTCTGTGAATACCAGAGTATGTGTTATTTGGGAGAATAATGTGGAGAAATTGAGGGACTTGCCATCTGAGGACACTGATCCCACATTTCAATTGGCAGGCCGCCCAAATGCTGCCTGTCAGGGAAGAATCTATAGACATCTGGAAGGATTCAAAAACTCACAGCAAAGAGAGTGGACCAATTTTAGAGCACAGGACCTTCAATGGTGCACAGTGTAGGAGGCAAGCAAGTGCTGAAAAGGCAATATCTGGACCTTCTACCTCCTGAGGTGTTGTCATTGGCCTTTATCACACATCTCAGGGAATTAAAACTGTATTTAAAAAAAACTATGAATAATTGCTTAATTTTCCCCTACAGTTAATATTAACATGGAGTACACAACATGTGAATTGTTCTGATTGGTTTTCCTTAGGGCCCCGACTACTGCTGGTTTCCATTCTCACAGGATGTTAGTTGCAATGACCCGATGGTCCGTGTCTAACTAATAAGATGGCGACAATTAAAAACAGCACTGCTTTGGGTCTTCTTTCGGGAACCTCTATTACATGGTGTACACATGCCGAGCTTAGAGGAATAGTTCCACATTTTGTGAAATATGCTTATTTGCTTTCTTTTCAAGTCTTAGATAAAATGATAGATACCACATAGTGCTGGTACGGTAAATATGAATCTGTAGCCACTTAGCTTAGCCTAGCCTTTAGACTGGAAAAAGGGGGAAACAGCTTGCTTGACTCTGCGCAAAAGTAACAAAATCTGCCTACCAGCACCTCTAAAGCTCATCAATTAACACATTAAATCTCATCTGTTTAAATGGAGGTGTAAAAATAACCAGCTGCTGACTCTAACTACATATTTAATGGACATCGCTGTTATAAATAACTTTTACCATGATGGGTTTCTCAAGTTGTCATATTAATGTTAAACACATAAATGGTTGTGAGCAGTACCAATCCCAACCAGCCCATTCTGAACTCTGGGTCTGAATCCTTCCAAAGGGTGTTGGACCTTTGATCTTTTATCTACTTTTATCTACTTCACTTGTCATCCTATTATGGGTGCTGCCATAATGCATGGGGGATGCATGACAGCTGGAATTAGAATTAAACCGTATAGGCAAGCAATCCTAGCTAACTCCACTATAGTACCTACTATAGCGATTCCACAAGAGTGCAATGGAAGAGACAAGACAGGGCCTATATGATGAATGGTGGAGAGAGCTGGGAGATTAGGGAATAGAGGAGATCAGGAAAAAGGGAGGTGTGAAAGGTTGGTGAAAAGGGGGACAACAAGAGGAAAGGAGTGGGGATTCACAGAGGGCTTTCATGTTGTGAGTAATGATCAATAACAATGCAAATTAATGGAAGCTTGATTAATGGAGTAGGTATGTGAAGGATTGCAGTTGTTGAGCTTGCTCCCTCCTTCACATTCTCCCTCGATTTTTCTCTATTTTGCGCACACACACAGTGACACACTCACACACACTCACACTTACAAATGCCATTCCGATGAAGATGGTTAACCTAGGTGATGGTTATGATGAAACGTGACTCTGTGGTCGCATTCATTTTTCACGTGTGACTGAAAACACACCCTCTTCTCTACTGCAACACATTTGGAGTGCGTTCATTTAGTAAATGTTTCACGTTGCCCGTATGTTTTAAGTAGGATGAAGAATTAAATGTGAAGTAAACTTTCTAAGAAGTAGGATAGTGTGCCACGATAGTCACTGCTACCGGCGAGCGCAGGTAGAAGCGCAACTCATCCAGGGAAGAGGATATAGCCTATACACCCAGTTTTATATGCTGGTGTCCGTCTGTGACTGTCGGAATCTGTGCATGTGTAAACAATGAACTGGACTAATACCACAGAATTTGAATCTTGCAGAATACCAGCCTTTAGGTGAAGGTAGATTGGAAATAAGAATTTAAAATGTTAGACATCGAATTCAGCTGTCAGTGAATAAGAGAGGCTGTCGCCGTGCAAGAGCATTATCGTTGCAAGAAAAATTACATAATTAAACTGGATAATTGATGCTAGGAATGTGGAGCAGATCGAATTTGCAAATAAGGAATATTGGGTGTGAAAGCACTCTAACCAATTAGCATGGACCACCTATTGAGTTTTAGACGCATGAATGCTCAATGAAAGAAGTCACATGCGCGTTCACGTCAGTTCAATTAAATGCAACCGTTGAATCAAGTGTGCAAATGATGCCTCACCTGAATCCGTATAGCGTGGCCTGGCAAGGTCTCGGAAATAGTAGATAAAATCCAAGCAGTGCTCGTTTTGCACGTCCCCCTTCGAACAAAGATCTGACAGGAGTTCAAGTGCCTTTTGACAAATCTCGTCATCTCTGTCTCCAGGCATTTCCCACCAGCATCCTTATAAATGGAGGGTCTCTTAGGCACAACCACTACACCACTCCGCCCGCTTCACAGTCACCTATTCCACGCTGCTCGGCACGGCTTCTGGAGTCAACCACGCATCCAACGGCACGCCTACCCACACGATGGAATCGACGGTCTGTGTTGGAAAGAACGAAAAATCACTAGTCCGAGTGATCCAGAGAGCCAGCCCTTTCCCACATGTGGAACGGAAAGAGTTTTTATGCAACATTCAGTCACACAGTCCCCTCACACTACTGCTGTGGCTTAAAGCCACCGGTTGAATCCACACGTTGCCACTGCGGCGCCGCGCGCTGTCCAAGGTGCTGAAATGTATGCGCGCTTCAGAGCCGGACTCTCCCTACAATGAATCTTTACAGCAGGTGGTCCTTGGTCTGGTGTCTAGCGTTACGCCTTCAAGCGGTAACAAGCTCAGGAGAAGTTGATCAGCTTTTTACTACAGGGTGAAATAGCTGGATCTGAGGGCAGTACTACCTGTAGCAAACGCCGATCACTTCTCCACTCCACGAACCTAGTGTACATATATATATATATATATATATATATATATATATATATATATATTCGTTTTGTGGACTCTTTGTGTGTGTGTGTGTGTGTGTGTGTGTGTGTGTGTGTGTGTGTGTGTGTGTGTGTGTGTGTGTGTGTGTGTGTGTGTGAGAGAGAGAGAGAGAGAGAGAGAGAGAGAGAGAGAAACAAGATGTCACTTAAGAAGCCAGTCATGTAACGTTACATATTTAGGTTTCGTGTACATTAACTTAAAGGAACCATTAAAACCAACGCAGACACTGCCCAGTTCAAATAAAGATTTTTTTTTTTCAGTGAGCTCCTCACGTCCTGGTGATTCATCCGCAATGACATCCATGATTTGTCTTGCCATACACCCAAATACTTGCGCATGCAGACAGAGGGACACTTATTTATCTTCCTGGTCATTTTTTGTATTGCTCATAATCGTTTCTGAAGTGCTCAGGGAATAATTATAACCAACAGTTCCATTTATTTCTCACGGTACAATGTCAATATTTCAAACAGTGTGCATTTTGTTCTGCTTTTCCTATTATGCATTTATTCAACCATTCAGTAAGTAGTGACTATAGTAAGTAAGCACACAGTCAATTTCACCCTCATACAGTGATTGACAAGCCCAGTTATAATGCATAGACTCTATATGGTTTCAGGGTGCATACCATTACACTTGAGTGGAAAAAGTAATGGCCTGAGTGTGTGTGTAAGACACCATGAATGCATTTAGGCAGTTTGTGACATGCACCATACAAAGACATATGTTGTAAGCAAATCTATATAACATTCACTGAGAAATAATCTCTTGTATGGTATAAAATGTTCCTTTGATGTAATGGGGATGTATAGAAATCATTAATGAGGTTACTGGGGGAAAATAAAGTTCAAAGATGATGCCAATAGAGGGAACAGTGTTACCACAGAATTTATTAATGTTTTTTTTTTATTTTATTAATGTATCAGAGCTTCAGGACCCTCTACATTTACTGGTAAAAAGATGAGGGGATGAAAAAAATGACACATAAATGGCTATTCAGTGTTTGTGATTTTCATGTCTGTTCCACCAAGAACAAAGAGCCCAGCAGTCATCTCCCATCAAAGATAAACACAGCTTCTAATGAGCTGTGCCCTGTGTGCGTTTATCTTGTTGCTCTGCTGTCTTGCAAATTGTGTGTTTTGCTCTCCTACCTTGTAATAATGAGCGCCGAGCAGGCATCCAAAAAAGGCTTTATCTCCACACAAGACAACATGTGAATGTGGTTAGCATGCCATTTATATAAAACACATTTGTCTTCTTTGAACAGTTAGGGAGGAGGGAGTTTTGTGATTGGAGAGACAAGTAGGTGATGGTGGTTATCATGGAATTAATGTGTGGTAATCATGTGTATGTGCATGTGTTTTCCATTCAAAAAAATTTTCACACAGCAGTAAGTCAGCTTTCTTCGTGTCCATGGCAACTGTAAAAGACAGAAGGCACTCTTCACCCATTTATTCTCTTCAACTCATATTTTGTCAGCCACTCTCCTGCACACCGTCCATTAATGCTCCAACATTGTTTCTACTCCCCCTCCTCCCCATTTTTGTTTTATAATCATTTTCCTCTTCACTAGTTGCTGTATTCTTTGATTGTAAACTACTTCCTATTTTATATCATAACTCTCAGGGTCAGTGTCTATCTCCATCTCGTTCTTTTCTGCTCATGCATAAATGAATCTTTCAGTTTACCAGCTGGGTCAACAACATTGGGAAGGTGATAAAAAATAGTATCCCCATAAGCTCTTTCAAAGCTGAGTGTGGACTTCTACTTGTCCTTGCTCTGGTTAAGTGATCCAAATGAGGTAAAGGAAAGAAATTTAAAAAAAAGCCCAGAAGGAATAGCTTTATCTTGGGACGAGAAGGAACTCACTCTTTGTTTAAAGTCATTAAACATGTTGAGCCATCATCATTAGTCAACATCTGCCACTCACTTGAGATGCCACCTGAGTTTCAGAGGGAAAAGAAAAACAATGTTATCAGCATATGGATGGTATGGAAAAACATGTGACATGAACACATCACCAAGAGATCCTGTGTACAGGGAGAAAAATAGGGGTCCAATCACTGAACCTTGTGGGACACCAGTGTGTGAAGCTGCTTATGACAAGTGATGTAGAAAGAAACACCTGGTGTTTGTTTCTGCATCACTTGTCATAAACAACTGATGATAGAGGATTGAAACCATTGCCATGCTGATATCCTTTTTTGTCTAGCGCAGATAGGAAATGTAATTGTTCAGTATGCCAGAGGCAAGAGTGAAACCAGTCAGAATCAGGACTAAAAACGGGCCAGCTGTTCTAGGAGAGTGAAGTACCTCTGTGACTGGCGGTTTTTGTGAGTGTGCTGCTTTAAACCATAATTGGTTTGGACCCTTGAGGTTGTGTTTGGATTTTCAGGCTTCAAGACTCAAGTTAGTACACACATACATATATATGATGCCCAAGAAAAAGCAAAAGCCCAAAATCTTTGTTGATGAACATTATTTTTTCTTGAGTTAAATATACAGAAAACACACACACACACACTACACACAAACACACACACACACACACACACACACACACACACACACACACACACACACACACACACAGCTGGAGCAGAATGAGATGGAAGTGTCTCTCATCTCAATTGCTCTTTCTCTGCCTCTTTTTTTTCTCTATGGCAGAAAGAGAGGCCTTGAGGGTTTAGGCAATGGGTCTCAAAAAACAAAAGGCACAAAGGCAAAGCCAATTCAAGATATTTTGGTATGTGTGAGTGAGAGACGGTGTGCGAGAGAGAATGAGAGAGATCGTGCTGTGTATATCATGAACAGAATAATATAGGGTGTCCGTGTGTGTGTGTGGGGGGGAGGGGATAAGAAGGAAGAACTGTAAGTAAGAGAGAAAAAAAATACACTGAGGAAACACACAGACATATTCACCATAAAGCCAACAGAAGTATCTCAGACAGGGATTTGTGTGCTATACATTTATCATCCATGGTTGACAGCACTGCTCAAAGAACCAGAAATTTAAAAACAAATAAAAGAAAAATTTGGATACACCAGGTATACATTTATGGTATATTCTTAAGTCTGACAGAAACTGCTAAATGACATAATGTAAGCAAATATTAATGAAAAAGTCAAATGTATCTACTTTGACTGCTATTAAATGTTCATGTCAGTTAATGTCAGACTAAGAATTGACATTGGTGTTTTAGTGGTGGGGCACTTTTATGAATTTGGACCTTAAAAAAAAAGTCTTTAAGATGTGTATTTTGTGCATATCCCTTTTAACAGTGAGCTCATCCCACTTGCTTTCTTGGTATGTTGAAATCGAATTAAAAAAAGGAATCATTGTGTCCCTTTTAGAAACCTGTGGTAACAGTACATTATATATCTCGTCTTCTCTTAGTGGTTGATCAGGAGCCCTCTCTTGTATAGCTGCATTGTATATATACAGTACATCTGAGGCAGACTGACAGTGGGAGTTTGTTCACCTTTCAGATAAATATAAAGTCAAGCAAGGGACTTGTGAGACAAGGCACATAAAGTTAAACAGCACTTGAATCAACTGTTAGTCAGTTGATGCTGGGCAGTGTCAGACAAACACCGCTCAGCAGGAAAGTAGAACAAACGCATCATGCAATCACATAAGCAGATAACATGCAAGGTAATTAGAATGGCTCGAACACCAAGGCAGCTTAGATGATGTGACAAGTCCCTCTAGACAGAGACGTCTGTATATAGTTACAGGTAACATAATGAGCCAGAAGGGACCTAGTGGGCAGGTGAGGTAGAGCCGAGATAACACAAAATAACACGTGACACAGACGTAAGCAAAAGGAGCATATGCAGGTGTCATCGTGAGAGATATTTTTAACTGGACAGTTATAACAAAACATTACTTCTCTCTATAGTATTGCTGCTTTTGCATGCAGACAGCTTGTTTTGCAGAAGCTAAAACTTGAGCTGCATGAGCTGGTATAAATGCCTCAAGCCATAGTGAACAATTTTACTGATGAAATGATTGCATTAAATAGTGCATCTATAACTTTAAGTATTAGAGAGAGATAAAATAAAATAATATAGTATAAACTGCTGTTCATGCAGGACAACAATCAGTATTGACCAGCAGCTGTATTTACATATCGAGAATTCAAACTTTTATTTCTGTGTTGATCCTATGATGAACATGCCCATGTTTGTTTCATTACTTTTGCCCATGTGCAAAACATACTCGGCAAGGCTCTTTTCCCCTGTGAGTAGGATAAAAACAATACCTAAAAAGGCAAGAATTAAACAGTTGTGTATACTATCCTCTCTTGCTTACATCAAATTGGTGACAGGTAACAATCAGATTTGGCTTGGAGGGGTCTTTGAGTTGTATAATGATCTCTGAGATTATGGCTGGTTGCCTTCCATTATAACTGTTTTGTGATATGATCACTTGTCCACTTAGCCCCTAGGAATCAGCTTGATATCCCTTGGCTTTGTTGCTGACCTAAGACAAAAAGTATCTGTGTCTCCCTTGGTTTGTGGCTTGCTAGGCCTGCAGAGAGAGAAAGACAATAAATACAACGCTGAGCTCAGCTTCTTCCTGCTGGTAGATCTACTGTTATTAGTAATTATCCAACTTACTTGTACAGGCCAAAACAAAAAGACAAGACAAGTGTGAAGGACAGTGGGATGAGTGACTCCTGTTGGATATGACCACATGAGTAAAAACAGTAATGAAGTATTTTACAGCATACAGTACATCTGTCAGATGTGAAATGTTTACTGCAACCACTGTCATTTTCCAGTAGTGAGCAGGGAAATTGACTAAAATAACAACAACAACAACAAGTGTTTTCCAGTATTTGCTTTTGGTCAACCTGTGTTTTTTAATGAAAAATACATAAGAAAAAGTCAGATAAATAGATAAATTACAACGTTTTATCCCACAAGACTTGTGGATGTACAGTAATGATGCAGCCAGCACCCTGGGATACCCACTGCTATAGTAGCAGCACTGCCAATAGTGCACTAATTGTTCACGGAAAATGCAGAGTTGTCAAAGCAACAACTACCACACCACTGAATCACTTTCCACAACTTTCACAGCTCTGTGCCATTGTGTGCACAACAATCA